GGTGATGAGATGGGATCGATGCCAGTGAAATTGAAGTACACCTGTTTCTAACCGTTCAATATATGTGCTGCGTCGAGTATTTACGTAATGTTTTTCGTCTACTCCATGAGTGACTGCTGAATACAGAAGCGTCATTTTCACTGACGATTTCACTACATGCTCTAATTTTCACATTTGCATGCGAACAGTTCGGATTCACTACAGAAGCGTATTTATTTATTTATTTATTTCAACACATATATAATGGTACAAAGAGGCACCAAATACATATGCGCCACACAAATCTCATCCGATATGTGTGAGGGCTGTGATACTGCCCGGGTGCCCAAACCGAAGCAGGTGGTTTTCTTAGGGGGCCACACCCCGAGCCTTCGACCCAAAGGTCTGATCCACAAGGCAGTGGAGCATCGTAAGGAGATACAGTCCCATGGAAGCCGGTGACCAACAATTGGTTCATTCGCCATTTGTTCCCGCAGGATACTGGAGCCCATGTGCACCATTGGTTTGGAATCCGGTTAAAGCGCCGGACATTCGCTTTTCGTCCTCTCATTTTCGTAAACAACACCCCCGCCACGAGAAGGCAGTGAGTAGGACTTCCCTGGCAGAGGCTATATACGCGTGGCCGTGTGAGAGTATTTCGAGAGGGAGAGCGTGCTCATAAAAGATAATATTTAGATAGATTCGGGTGATTGTAACTAAAGTTCCAGAGAGAATCATACTCTAATAAGCAATAGTCAGTCAATAAATGAGTGAACATAGCTCGAAAATGCCAGTTATTTCACATTTATCAGATATTTAAAAATGAGAGGTGTAACGGACGTGTAAGGACCTGAATTCAAGAGAAGCTACGGTTATCATATAAGGTGCAGAAGCAAATTATACAACTTTTGCATCACCAAATAACATAGCAATCTAATTCCGAGACTTGAGGCGTATTGTAATGATTTAAAGGCAGAATACTTGCGTAAATTTACTATCGATAGTAAAGGATCTCTAGAAATGCTCTACTATTGATTATAACAGTGCTAGTAATTTAGCCCCGACCAAAATTTTCTCACCGTTAGGAAACTTCTGTGAAACGAAAAGTGACAGAGAACTAAAGTAATTCGAATAGATTCAACCAGGATGGATTAGTTAAGGCCATTACATAAATCTTTGATCTAACCGATCAAACCAGTATCTCATACACGACAGCCTTAATGATAGGTTAGTAACTACAAATAAGTCTTCTCAGTCCACTGCTCGCCTTACCTTTCTTTTATAATAGCAACAACCGATTTTGTCATGATTTTTATATCGTTAGTGTTGTATCTAAAAAATTTACTTCGGTATTTTTTTGAATATATTCTCAACATGTAACCAATTTATGAAAAAATCAAAGTCTCAAGTTCCGAATATTCAAATTTTGATCTTGAATTGAAAATTATCACTGCAGATAGCCTCAATAACAGAATGACAATTTTCGTGAGAAACCGTCAATATATAGCCTACCAGAGGATAATTGTAAGTGCTAAATCAAAACACGATAGGGACTAGTAGTTCATGGTTAAAATTACAAAGAAATCAAGTTTAAAGCTTAAGTAATATACAGATATTTGAATTTACTATCAAGGATGACATTCCCAATAATAAATTATAGTAAGTTGGATATTTTAAACTTGTTTCGCTACCAATCCACTCCCACTGCTTTCTTCTGTTCGTCATTTTCAAAGCATATTCTATCTTAACTTTCACTTTAGGTCATCTCATCGCCTAATATGTTTCTGACTTTCTATGTAATATTCTACTATTCTTAATCGACAAGCCTGCATTACTTCCTCTTGGTCACTGATTAAATATTAGCTCCAGCAAAATGCCAAACATGTGAAGACAGTGAAGGTAAGAGTATGGAGAGACAGGAAGATATATGTCCCAAATGAAATCCAGCAGTCCAACTTCTTGAAACTTAGTCTCCTGTATTTGTGAGGCTAAGCTAAGAGTGGACGACAATGAAAAGATCGTAACAACAACTTAACGTTAAGAAGTAAGCCCTCCCTAAGGCTACTAGCTCATCATGGAGATATTAAATATATTAAGTAATAAATAAGCCTTGTATTCGGATACAAACTGCTTTTTTGTTGTGTCTGCGGCACATTTAGCCTGAACAACAATTTAGTGAGGAATACCAGTGTCTTAGCGCAATAGCATTTCTCATAACAAACCCGTGCTTCTAAAGTAACTCATGAAATAGTACTTAAGTCTTCCAGAAACCACTGAGTATGCTGGAATGTATGGTTTTCCGTAATTGAAATCAAGTACAGAATTATGAAAAAAGAAATTAATATCCATCCTCAGCACCATAACTGCCGCTGCTTAAGTCAAGATAAAAATTTATGTAGTGCAGTAAACTCTGTCATCTACGATATCTAATACCTCACTTTGACACGGGATGTTTCACATTAAGGGCTATGAAGTGTGCTTTCAAATCTTTCCCAAGACAATCAAACGCTTCGTTTTTATTTGTTTTGTGCTTAGAGGATAAAATATTTCCATTGTTCCCCAAAAAATGTGAAAAATCACTTTGTACACTACGTTCAAGACCCTCAAGACATTATTGTATGAATCCATAATAAATTTTGAATCTATTGAAATAACTAAGCACTCCTATACGACTTATATTTAATATTCCATGAATGAAAAACAGGTGAGAATCTCTCCACTCCTAAATGCTGATGATGTCTTGGATTTCACTGTCAGCTTACCTAAAGTTCCCTACATCCATAAAAAGTTCTCTTGTTTCCCAAGTCTCAAAAAGATCATTACTTCATACTCATAGACTGCATTCCTTCGGGCACAATACTGGTTGACTTCACAGAACAATTCACTATTTCACTCATTGATTTCCTTCGCTTCTATTATCTTGCTTTATTTGTACATGAAGAGCTTCAAATTTTCCAAAATTGCTGGAATTTTCAATCTTCCTAAGGTGTGCTAACATTATCAGATGTCGATGTTTGAGAACAAATAATACATGTATGTTACCTCATCTAATGAAGATAAACATTCCATCTTCACACATGGCGGCCGCAACTCTGGAAGCGTTTCGAGCCGACAGACGTCGACTGCCACCTGGAATCCACATGCACCCGGATAGGCCATACGAAGTTAGGACCAAACACAAAGGCAAGTTGGAGCTTACCATTCCACTTGTGGACTGTCTAGACGATAAAAAACGTGTAAAAGACAGGGCCTACCACCTCGGCAAACCTCATATAGGTGGGCTACCTGTCCATTTACGTAAGGCTCATACAGACAAACAGGAAGAAGATCACGCGTTACACAGGACTTTCCGAAGTGAACTAAGCGCTGACTTAGTGTTCCGGAAACTGCAGCACTTAAGATTAGACACTTATACTGGCCCGGACATGGTCCATTCCGCCATACTGAGGGAAGCAGCCTCAATCCTGGCAAAGCCGCTTAGCATGATGTTCTCACACTCGCTAAGTCAAGGAAAACTACCGGAAAATTGGAGGCTGGCTCACATCACACCAATCTTCAAAGGAGGTCGACACAGCGAAACTTCAAGTTACCGACCGGTGGCTCTTCTCTCGATACCCTCAAAAATCATGGAGTCCCTGACATGTGATGGTATAAACGACTATTTACTGTCCTTAAATTTCTTCTCACCCTAATAGCACGGTTTCAGGAAGGGTTACTCTTGTATTACCAACCTGCTGACTGCGGTAGACAGATGGACAAGCATCCTTGATCACAAGGGGAAGGTTGATATCATCTACCTAGATTTCTCAAAAGCTTTTGATAAGGTTAACCATACATGTCTTATCAATAAGCTCAAACGATTGAGAATCAGACCACCTCTAATCGATTGGCTCACTTCATACCTGAAAAACCGATATTTTAAGGTCATGGTTAATTTCACTTCTTCTCAAGCTATGGAACGTCCTAGTGGAGTCCCCCAGGGCTCAGTACTAGGACCTCTTCTCTTCTTGATCTATATAAATGATCTTCCTCGACAGGTAACGTCGGACTTATTACTTTTAGCCGACGACGTGAAACCTTGGAGAGAGATACGCAACCAAGACGATACACAGGCAATTCAGGAGGATCTAACTCCACTTCAAAGTTGGGCAGACGATAACGGACTTACCTTTAACACTTCAAAGTGTAAAGTAGTCCATCTGCGACATGTCACAGACTACAGTTATAACTTAGGTAACTCCTCTCTAGTAGTATCTCAAGTTGAAAAAGATTTAGGAGTTTTGATGCCTTACGATCTAAAGTCTTATGCCAACTGTGACAAAAATGCCTTCCGAGCAAACCTTGCACTAATAACATTGAAGCGCATTTTTGGCCAGTTTGACGGAAGAGCTTTCCATATGATCTTCAAAAGTTTAATCCGTCCCCATTTAGAGTAGGGAAACATAGTATTTCCCCCTCACTCCAAAAGGATAAGGACACCCTGGAGCGTATTCAACGGCGAGCCACGAAATCAGTTCGAGGACTCAAATTTAAACCTTACGAAGAGCGCCTCCATTCACTTAACCTTTACCCATTAGAGTATAGACGTCTTCGAGGTGACCTTCTGATGGCTTACAGTATATTGAACACTTATGGACATCCTCTCAAACACTACTTAAGCTTAAATCCAACACTAACCTAAGGGGTAACACCCAAAAACTGGAGACACAACATAGCAGAACGGAATGCAAACACAACTTCTACTCCTTAAGAGTTGTCAAAAGCTGGAATTCGCTGCCGGCCAAGCTAGTCCAAGCAACTTCCCAGGAGTCCCTTAAGAAGCAACTTGATCTATTCTTAAGGACTAAGGATAGTATCACACTATGATTTACTCATTTCTTTTCCTCTTTTATTGTTAACATACCTAGGTTCCTGCTTGAAGGATTTGGTGATCCCCTGCTACTAGACACGGAAGCCTGTTAAGCGAAAGCTTCTTCTATTCCGTACACAACCATTTGAATCACGAAGATATTGGACACTGGAAATCGCCAAGGTTCGACCTAGAGGTTGTGGATTTGACCAGAGATTTAGTGGTTAGTTGTTGTACTTTAATGTTATATTCATACTACCTACTTTTAAATATGACGTTCGTTTCACGTTTTTCATAAGACTAGTAATTGATTTGTAAAGCACCTCCATAAACTCACAAGTAAACAAATAAGGGCAAACAAAAGTGCCTTTCCCACGGGAAAGTAAAGGAGAAACGCACCAAAAAGTCTCATTTTTTGCCTCCCTTGAGGAGATAATGCGACATTCCCTATTTTTGCAGCCGAGTTTTAATTTTAGCTGAATTTACAGCTAGTTGTTTACCTATCACTTAGATTTACCAGGATTACCAACCTTCTCATCCATTTACACAAATTTCACGGACATGTTGACTGCAAGTGATTTGATTGGATAAGCTATATCTGATTGAAGACATTCGCAGACGATAAAATCATAGTTTATGAGGAGACTAAAAACAGACATGCGGTATGTAGACCATTCATTCACGCTAGCAATTATAGACAAGTGCTTGTTGGCAAGCAGTCCTTTATTTTTAGACACTATAAAGGTTCTCTAGATTACATGGCACTGGCTTTCAGACTCACCATTGACACATTGATTTGTGGTTTATACTCCAGTCATTGAAAATGATAGTACTCCAGCAATTTTGATCACTAAATTTACGTAATTGTTAATTTATTATTAGTATGAATAGAGAAATTCAGGCGAGATTATAATGTTTAGATGAACTATGAGGGACGCCAGAGTAAGAATTTCCTTAGGGCTAAAAAGAGGGTTATGGATTAGCTTGAGGTAATAGGATCGAAATCTAAAAGTTGGGGTTAGAAATAAGAGTTGGGGTTTTCATCACCAATTGACATTAGATATAATGTAAAAATTCTATTTAGCCACGTGGATAAGTATATTTCTCCCCGAAATCTTTAAATTAATTGCTTCGTCTATAAATCATAGTCTCCGGAATTTGTCTTATATATTAACTCAAGCGTACTGTTTTGTTTTTTCTCTCTGTGGATTAATCTCAAAGCTGTTTTGTGACTATTTGATTGGTGCCTATGAAGTCTTGAACTCAGTAATATCCCTTAAATAGACGGTTAATTTTTCCAAGACCGTTGTCAGCCAGATAAAGTTTGTTAAATCTGTACCCTATCCATAAACTGAGTGCATAACGCGATGGCGTTCCAAGCGAACAGTACTGGGTTTGAGTCCCGAAGTGGACATCGACTCAGGGATACGGGTACACCTAGCTCACGAGTCCTAAACAAAATGAATCCTAGGTCCCACTGCTAGCTGCCGTCCATCTCTGCTTCAAGTGCTTGTAATTTAGTAGCCATATTGAGGCGATACTCGCAGGATCCACATATGCCTAAGGAAAACGGACTAATTGCAGTCCTACACATCAATGGGAAACTCCAAGTAACCAATACAAATGGGTCATTTGACCATAATAAAACCCATAGTTAACGTATTCAGGCTCTAATCTGACAATGTAGTGGGGGTTACAAAGGATGGTTTTCCTCAAGTTTCTCAAGGTCACACCAAATAAACCACGTAGTGAGAATAAAATAGGTAAGTGCTGCTCATGCTCTGGCGCTCAGTGACTCACCAATCTCAGCACTGAGTCCAGGATAATCATATGTGGGGCACGCTTTTCAAATCGATGTATAGATAACAAACTTGTAGTTTTTCATCATAGTTTTGAGGATAGGTCTCTAAGTTATAACAATGCACTACTAGTAGCTCGTTCTGTGAAGATAAGTCCGCCCACATTAAGTTTCAAACATCAATGGTAGTGACTTTACATGAAAAAAATTATTCTTATGAGATACTCACTAAAAAAACATGTGATTAATTGTTTAACAAACTAAAACCCCTTGGACAAAATAAAATATTCAATTTAGTGGAGTTGCTTAGTAGTTCAAATATTGAAATTAATGTATGATGTAGTTTAGTCATTCGTGCTCTTCCCTCATTATCTGAGAACTGCGAACACCTGGAGGCCCTATCCAAAGCAGGGTATTTTCCCAGAAAATCACTTTCCACTCTTCTCTGCAAGGTCTACTGCACAAAGCAGTGGAACAGCACCAAGACACAATCATTGCGTAGTCGGTGATTGAAATAAGTTTGTACATCGTTTGTTCCCCGTCGAAGTCATTCTTATATGTAAATTCGCACAACTCTCATTTCAAAGTATTAAACTGACTCAGACGTAAAACCAAGCATTCTAATAATTTTAGTACAAATGACTTTCTTCATTTTATTGTAGTTACATAAATAGCAACGTGGCTTACTACTGCTATGGAATATTTGTAACAGACTTTCGTTGGATAAATTCCAAAGTTCAAGCAAATATGGAACAGTCGTCTGGGACACCGAACCTCATCGTTAACGAAACTTCGAACACTGATATGATCAACAACGAACAAAAATATGGACATAACAGTATCCAACCAAAGGATATTCATATATCAAGTACTTCAGTATCTGTACATCATCGTCGCAAGCGGTCGCATATATCATCATTATCGGGGCCTGTGCATGCAGTTAATCATATAGAAGCACCCACATATGGGGAATATGGATTTCCATCGTTAAAAGATCATGTTGACATTGCAGAGTCGGCAGACGAGGAAAATGTACTTCTTAGTTGCAATCCTGAACATTTTCTACGTAGTGATTCAACTCTTGGTGAAAAATCCGTCGATTCGCTAAAGCTCGCTAAACTCGATCCGGAATTCCGTGACTTGATCTCACGTTATGTCTGCTCGGAATATGTAGTTCATTGTCTTGAACTGGCAGGCTTTTGTACACCGTATGTTGTCGCCCGGCTAGATGATCATCAGTTACAGAGGCTTGAGACGTTTGTTGGACATGCTTGTTCGATTATGAAGTCAATTACCTTACGAGAGCATTTCGTAGGGCCCATTTTTGCAAATGATCCATTAAAGTTTAAACTACCCTCAGGTGCTGCTTGTGGAATTCTTTTGGCTGCACACGAAATTCGTCGGAGGTATCGTCGATCTCAGTTATCAATAGAGGGTCAAAATCCTATTGATGAGGATATCATAATTGTCCCAGACTCATGTGATCAGAGCTTCAGTGATATAGGTTGTCAAACAGATTCTTCATTGTCTCACTTCATTTCTTCAGCATCTTCACCGCCTGTTACCTTGGCTGACCCATTACCAAGCAACTTTGTGGAAAATTCGGATTCAACATCTCCAACATCGGTGGTAAATTTGACGTCGAAAACCTACTTTTCAGATTCCCCGAATCCCTCACGCAGGTCAGAACCAAGTGTTCCACCTTCTGACGGACCAGCAGTGATCATGGCTGCTGCTCTCCAAGCTGCCGCAGCTGCTGTGAGTGGAAATGGATACAATAATATCACTTTGTTTTCTAATTCTTTACCCGATGAAACCAGTTTAACGACACTCTCTGGTTTAAGTAGCTGTAACTCTGGTGATACAAATCCTGTGCTTCATCCAGGAACTAGCATCTCTCCTGTTTCATCACGTAATACGATTCCAGTGTCAAATATGCCTTCTGTCGCCATCACATCAAATGCTATACCATCTCATTCTAACTTTTTGATCAATTCCTCTCCAGTTGGATACGGAAATGGATTATTTGAGAATGAAGGAGTCAATTTGGAGCGCTTGAAACAGCATTCTTCAGCTAGTGCAATCAGGTTAGCATCACGACAGTTTGTTAACGCTTATCTTATGCGTGGTCGAGATTTTGATATGGAAATGGAATTGTCAGTGACGCCTGAGGGTTTTAAACGTGTTACTGGTATATTTTATTGTCATCTCTGCAGAGAGAAACGTGAGCGCACATCAGCCGTACGCTTTTCCATAGCCCGCAACAGGTATCCAGTTTTGAGTAATGTATTATCGCACTTAAAAACACATTTTCATTATCGGGGTCAAACGTTATCAGGATTGCAGGCTGCGGTCACCCAACAAACTCAGAACTTACTGAAGTCGGCTAATGAGTCTTTTATTGGAGAAGGTTTAGGTCAGTCTCCAGGACCGTTCAACAGTTCGAGCTGTCGCACTGATTTTACGGTACAACATACAACTAATTCATCTAATACATCGCTTCTGCCCACATCCATTTCTCTTAACCAATTTCAGTTACAAATGAAACCGGAACCAGGAAACTGCACGTATACTATTGAAGCTGAGGGCATTGAAGACTCTAGTTCTGTGCATCAGATTTTCAACAGTTTATCTCCGCCAAATAGATTAAGCTCACCGGATACCAAAGGTTCGTCTCCCACTCGAGGTTTGGAACTCAAAGTCATTATCCCATCGCGACCAAATACAGATAGCCAATGTAATACGCTAACCTCGTAATGTAAATCTTATAACTTTCCCCCACAAATATATGATTCTCATGTTATGAATACTGACATGCCTGTCCCAAATATTTTTTTTAAAGCATTAACACTTCGAACATGTACACAATGTTTATTTAGCATTTCTATCCATTCCATAGAGAAAATTGTGTGTAAATACCAATAGTTTATTATCATCGATATTCAGATAAGTGTGTATATTTGTATATAAATCCTTTTATTAAGTACTCAATCTTCCTTTATTTTTACAGTTTAGAAGTATTTTTCATCTTAGAATAAAACCAATAGACAAACAGTTGGAAATCACAAAACAGAAGAAATCCAGGACTCATCAGAAGTGCACAGTGATGACTTTATACGGGATCGAAATCCTGAGGTCCCGGGCATTACAATACAATGTTCAATTATTGCGGATTAGTAAATCTCTTCTCATTTAGTCATAATCAGTTACTGGTGAGTTTGTAACAGTGCTATATTCAGTGTTAAGATGTTTGATGATAAAACTTCTCATAGGTATTTTAGGGACGTTCTCAGTGGGGTGGTATAATATTCGACCAGTTGTGGAAGGAACAATATTAGGGTCTGATGACCCTAAGTTCTTGCTCTAAGTATTAAAAGACCAATAAGGAGTATAAACGTTGTTATTGGTCTAAAAATTAGTGTAGTTTAACGCTTCTGGTTACTTACTTACGCCTGTTACTCCCAAGGGAGCATAGGCCGCCGACCAGCATTCTCCAACCCACTCTGTCCTGGGCCTCCTTTTCTAATTCCATCCAATTCTTGTTCATTTTTCTCATGTCTATCTTCATTTCCCGGCGTAATGTGTTCTTTGGTCTTTCTCTTTTCCTTTGGCCTTGAGGATTCCCTGTGAGGGCTTGTCTTGTGACGCAGTGTGCTTTCTTCAATATGTGTCCTATCCACTTCCGGCACTTCTTCCTGATTTCTTCCTCCGCTGGGATCTGGTTTGTTCTCTCCCACAGTACGTTGTTGCTCATAGTCTCCGGCCAACGGATTTGAAGTATTTTGCGTAGACAACTGTTAATAAACACCTGTATTTTCTGGATGATGGCTCTCGTAGTTCTCCAGGTTTCTGCCCCATACAGTGGGACTGTTTTGACATTTGTATTGAAAATCCTGACCTTGGTGTTGGTTGACAGTTGCTTTGAGTTCCAGATGTTCCTCAGTTGTGAATATGCTGCTCTTGCTTTGCCGATCCGCGCCTTCACATTTGCATCAGATCCGCCCTGTTCATCAATGATGCTGCCCAAATATGTAAAGGTTTTTACATCTTCCAAATCTCCGTCAATTGTGATTGGATTGGTACAAGCTATGTTGTATCGGAGAACCTTGCTCTTCCCTTTGTGTCTATTGAGACCTACTGCTGCTGAGGCTGCTGCTACACTTTTCGTCTTCTCCTGCATTTGTTGTTGCGTTTGGGATAGAAGGGCCAGATCATCTGCGAAGTCCAGATCTTCCAACTGCATCCTAGATGTCCATTGTATCCCGTGCTTCCCTTCAGATGTTGACGTCTTCATGATCCAGTCGATCACCAGGAGAAATAGAAAGGGTGAGAGTAAGCAACATTGCCTAACACCGGTCTTCACTTCGAACGACTTTGTCAACTGTCCTCCATGCACGATTTTGCAGTGTAATCCATCATATGAACTCTGTATGATATTGACTATCCTTTGAGGCACGCCGTAGTGTCGAAGATGCTTCCATAGTGTTGTTCTGTCCATGCTATCAAATGCTTTTTCGTAGTCAATGAAGTTGATGTAGAGTGATGAATTCCATTCAATTGATTGTTCCACAATGATCCGTAGAGTTGCGATTTGATCTGTACACGATCTATCCTTACGGAATCCTGCCTGTTGGTCACGAAGTTGGGCGTCTACGCAGTCCTTCATCCTGTTTGACGATACCCTGTTGAAGACTTTTCCCGGTACTGAGAAGAGTGATGCCCCTGTAGTTATCGCAGTTGCTGAGATCGCCTTTCTTTGGAATTTTGACCAGAAGTCCTTCTTTCCAGTCTGTTGGTACTTGTTTCTCATCCCAAGTCTTATTGAAGAGAATGTGGAGTATCCTTGCAGTTGCCGCTATGTCTGCTCTTAGTACCTCTGCTGGAATATTGTCTGGTCCTTCTGCTTTGCCACTCTTGATTTGTCTGATGGCCATGCTGATTTCTTCAATTGTTGGTGGGCCAACATTGATTGGGAGGTCCGTGGGTGCTGCTTCGATGTTGGGTGGGTTCAGTGGAGCTGGTCGATTCAAGTGTTCTACCCACCTGTTTTGTTGCTCTTTAATGTTGGTGATTACCTCGCCTTCCTTGCTTTTCACTGGTCGTTCTGGTTTGCGGCGATTTCCAGAGAGTTTCTTTGTCGTGTCATACAGTTGTCTCATATTTCCTCCTCTTGCAGCCTTTTCCGTCGTCATTGTTAGATTTTCCACATACTTACATTTGTCGGTTCTGATGCTCCTCTTCATTTGTTTGTTTACTTCTGTGTATTCAGCTTGTGCCTTAGCTTTTTCTGCTCATGTTCGACTGGTATTGTTTGCTGCCTTCTTGTTTCTCCTTTCTTGAATCTTATCCAGTGTATCAACAGTGATCCATTTCTTGTGATGATGCTTCTTGTGGCCCAGGACCTCATGACATGTTGAAGTGATTGCCTCTTTGATCCCCTTTCAGTTGCTCTCCACAGTAGTTCCTTCTCCCTTGAGTAGATCATGAAAGGCCTGGAACTTGTTGCTGAGGTCTATCTTGAATTTGTTGAGTTTGCTAGTATCCTGAAGAAAGGCCGTATTGAACTTTTGTGATGTTGTCCGCCCTATTGTCCAGTGCTTCTTGAGTTTCCATTTCATCTTGGCGACCAGCAAGTGATGATCTGATGCTATATCAGCTCCTCTCTTGGTTCTCACGTCCTCTATAGTCCTCCTGAATGTTTTGTTGATGCAAATATGGTCGATTTGGTTCTGTGTAGTGTGGTCCGGTGAAGTCCATGTGGTTTTGTGAATGCGTTTATGTGGGAATATGGTGCCGCCTATGACCAGTTTATTGAAGAAACATAGGTTTGCAAATCTCTCACCATTTTCGTTCCTTTCTCCCAGTCCGCGTCGTCCCATGATGTCTTCATATCCAGTGTTGTCCATTCCAACCTTGGCGTTGAAATCTCCCATCAGAATGGTCAGGTCCTTTGTTGGGCACTTCTCGACGATTGACTGCAGCCTATTGTAGAATTGATCTTTAGCGTCTTCATTGTAGTCGTTGGTAGGCGCATAGCATTGGATGACGTTCATTGAAATGCCCTCCTTTTTTGTTTTGAACGAGGCTTTGATGATCCTTGGTCCATGAGATTCCCATCCTATAAGCGCATTTTGAGCTTGTTTGGACAGCATCAATGCAACTCCTTGTGTATGTGGGGCATTTTCTTCTTCATGGCCGGAGTATAACAGCAGCTGCCCTGAAGCTAGTCATTATTGTCCAACTTGCGTCCAATGTGTTTCACTGATCCCAAGCACCTCTAGGTTTTATCTCCTCATTTCTGCAGCAATTTGGAAGGCTCTCTCTGTGTCCCACATTGAACGAACATTCCATGTACCTAAATAAATGGTCGCTCTGGTTGTCAGAAGGGGCATCGGCCTCGTAACTTCCGAAGGAATTCGGCTTTCATCATAAGGCATCATAGTTCTTGTAAATGAAGATCTTCTGACTCCCGGGTCAGAGGTTAAAAGGTTTGAATAATTTTTTCTGGTTAGCGTTTTTTAGCGAGTTAGTTTTCTACGGGATGGGGACGCTAACCCCATGCCCAACCCTCCTCCTTTTCCGGGCTTGAGACCGGCAGTAGCCTCCGGAGGGACTCCATGCGGAGTTATTTAATTAATTTAGACATAAAAAGTTGATACAAGGAAGGCCAATATACATGCACTAACTCCATCATTCGATTTATTTGAGGGTCGGGATACTCTCCAGGCACCCAAACCGAAGCATATGGTTTTCTCAAGAGAACTCTCGCCGAACTTTTGACCTAGAGGTCTAATCCACAATACATCGATACATCTTGTGGAAATATGTGACATGGGAAGAAAAACCATTTACTTGCTATGTTAATCACAAGATATTCAAGGGAATCGTTATCTGCGTCAATTTTATCGAGAACACCAAGTTTCCATTGATTCGCCAGCCTTGCTATGATGACTTCTTTTTAGTAAAAGCAGCCAGCGTACAGTAATATACCCGTATAATGTACATTAAGTAGATGATTGTGGACGTAGTTATTCATCCCGAAGCCAATTTACTTCCAGTCCTTCGACTTTGGTGTCCGGTACCCAAAGTTTGAAAACAATTTAGAACTTTCCCTTCATAAGGTGTGAACTCAATGAACTAAGCTGTTCTTAGATGCTTGATAGCCGCGAAGATCGTTATGAATCAGTATACCCGAAATTCGATTGGTTGGCTGATTTTTGTATACACAGACAATTTAGGTTGACTTGAGTCAAAGTTGTGAAATCTATTTGCGATGAGTTTTAACAAATTCCACTGACATTTTTCAGTACCTGATTTACAGATATCCAAATATTAAAGATATACTGACATAGTGGTTGAGATTGACAGGTCAAGTATAAGTGTAAAAAGTTGGGATTAGTGGTGAATAGGTATGAGAATGGTCAAAAAGTATAACAAATAATAATAGTGACTGATCCGCGATGAGCGTGACATTTAGATATACAGTAATCATAGTACAGTGGTGTAATAGTGGTAACATGAAACTAAGCACTGTTTTGAAATTCGACAACAAAAATGTAAGTTTTCTCATTTTTCGTCATATTTTGCCCTAGCTGACGAGTAGTGAATAGGACGAGATGCGACTTTTTGATTAGCCATAATTCAAATAAACTACATATATATACTACTTAGATGTATATATGCAGGATGGTCCGAACTGATCGATCTAATGATTCAATCTTATTGAAAACTATATTATTTACTCATCTTAAGATCGAGGTTTAACAACCAAATATTCTTTGTTCTCGATGTTGGATTTATTTGAAAAGCGAATGCTATGTCTTATCTCCCGAAAGCGTCTTCCAAAAAAAACAAGACGACTTTCCCCTCAAGAAACAACTGGAAAAAATCTACAATTTCGCTTAATAAACTATTTCATGGATATTCAAATCGAAGTTAGATAACAACAAAAATAAGGAACTAGGACTCACAAATACAAGTTATCACAACAAATGAATGGAGGTCAACACGTAAATCACTATATACATAAAGAGAGAAAATAGGGAACACTGGTTTAGGAGAGTAGCAAATAAATTATGCTACTTAAAAAAGTAAACTATTGAGGTCACCTAATCGAGGGATCAATTAAACAAAATAACAAACTAGAACGAACAAAAAGAAGCAAAGATCCGAATAATTGGGTACAGATTGTTTTGTAGCGTTTGATACAAACGTTATATCTAACATACTTTCCTAGCTGACATAACTTTAGTTTAAAATGCAAAAATCAAATTCCATCTGAATTACTTCATTTAGATGATAACAAGAATTAGAAGTACTCGGTGAGCGGCGTTCGATTTCCTTTATATTTAGATCGACGGTTTTTAAGCAACTAGTCCATGAAGATAATACAGGCAACAGTATGTCGTCTAATGCGTCAGCATACATTTCTTCACAATTCTCACAGCTGGCATTTTCAAGATCGCTTGATGAATCCAGTTGGTTGTGCAGTGTGTATACCTCCTGACATGAAGCACCCATCCGATAGCCAACCTGATCTGGTGGTTGCAACAGAATGCGTAGTGTGATTTGTGTACGATTATTGTTTAGGAGATGACCAAGGTAAGGTCGAAGCGCCTATAAGATAGATCAAGACGTAAGCATTTCACGACAAGCTATGAAAAACCCAAGTAAATTATTGTAGTAGTGATAAAAGCCTTGATTCATAACTGAAGAAATGAAACAGATACACGACGTATGAATTGCACAATATCATCTTTATCTGCAAAGTACCTCCTAACTGAAAATGAGAGTATGTTGAATTAAGAGCCTGATAACTAGGTTGAAATTCATCAGTTTTACCTATGCGTAATAAGACTTAATGAGTTTCAAACATATGAATAAAGTAATTTACCCAAATAGTTATTTTATCAATACATATGAAACGCTGTTAAGTACCATGAACAGAATAATCATAGCATTCTGAGTACAATCCCGTGGTCATTCGAAATACAGCTGAAGTACGGTGCATAATTCCAGTTATTGTAAAATAAAAGCACATTAGGAAATATAAGTTATCCACACATAACACAAGCAAGTGAGGAACAATAAAGAATGTAAAACAAATTGACTTTAAACTCTACAAAAAACTTAATACATGAACTGTTATACGTACGGATATTTCCTGAGAAATAATGCAATGACTTAAAGATAAAGTAGATCGAACATTTATTGATATGATGGAATAAAAAGATGATTTTATTCAAGTTAATATTTTTGTATCAGTTCATCATGGATTTTTGCCAAGTTCACAGGTGTGCACTTCGTTCAATATGAGAACTTTATTCCGTCTATCAGTTCAGCTGTAATATATTCAGAGACTTTTACGGTGATCATATACATCTCACCTATTTTACTAATAACGATGTAAAATCTAATGGTCTACAAGATGTTGTTACAGTTTTGTAACGACAAGTGTTTCTATCGAACCGGGAAATCTTATTTACACCAGTTTCCCACGGGAACTGCATTCCTTTTCATCTCAAGGCATAAGTGTTACGATCGAGTAAATGCAGCGGTTCCTAATAGTCAGATTCTCTCAACTACTTATAATTAACAAAAAGTGCAAGTTAAGTGAACTACCAAACTTGAGCGAATGCATTGATAACGGAGGGTGCAAACCACATACCATAGCTGCGGATAACAATTATCAACATATCATACGTGCACGATACCACATGGGAATCATATGTCTCAAACGCATAGTAGAACATTTACTTCAGCACCATTTCGTTCACATGATTGTTTCTTTGAAAAACTTTACTTTGCAAATGATCGTTGTTCTAGTTCACCCTGTACTGACTCAGATATGACGAATGGTTACTATTGGCTTAATTCCAGATCTTTAACAAGTAGTAATTATGGAAGTAGCAATCCATATGGATTCGTATTTTTCCATCCAACTCACCAATGTTTATTAGGCCTACATCTACCAAATCCACCGTTCTTAATCGCTCTACTAGTGCATATACAAGAAGCACCTTGGGCATATCATCTACCGAGTAGAATTTTATTGAATCTAGGCAAAATGTCACATTATTATCCAACTACTTTGTTATCCGACCGTGATCGCAAGATTTTATTTGATTGTAAACTAGACGGAGAAAGCTTCTTACAATTATTCACTAATATAGAACCATTTATCTATCCAGATTTCATTCCTAACTGATCACTGTATTCGTTTTGCTTTTCCTCATTTGTTTGGAATAGTATCTTCAAATATCTGTTTTTAATTGGCACATTTTGCGTGTCTTGACAAATCAAGTCAACTCTGATTCTTTTTTCATCCTACGATCCGATCCAGCCACATTGCACACTTCCTATCTCTGGATTAGCTGTGCGCGAAGTAATAAGATAGAATTTTGTAATGTTAAAGGCTGAATGGGTATTGACACAGGTCGTGTGTATATATATGATAATAGATTAACGCACATAAATGTATGCAAGTAATGACCCTGACCCGATGAATAATCCACTCACAAAACGCCCTCCGACATTTTGATTTCTCACTCACCATTTGTCTTTGAGGAATCATATAACCTGTCTGGTCTAGTAATAGCATATGGTTCCATCAGGATTGTCCGACATACCGTTCTTCCATATACCTTACCCAGTAAAAAAGTATGACCTACTTTATGGCAGTGAAACATGGCCAATAAGAGTAGAGGATATTCGTAGGTTACTAGTATTTGATCGTAAATGTCTTCGAAACATTGCTCGTATATCCTGGGACCATCGAGTAAGTAATGCAGTTGTTAGGAAACGGCTACTAGGTAAGGATGGCAAATCAATTGATGAAGTAGTGAAACTTAATCAGTTGAGATGGCTGGGACACGTGTTACGTATGCCCAACCACCGACTGCCTCGACGTGCGATGTTCAGTGGTATAGGAGTAGGTTGGAAGAAAGCTAGGGGCGGCCAGACCAAAACATGGCACAAGTCCATGAAGTCACTGACAAGTGGACTGAGTCATGTTGGTAGGCGTAGACTACCTGGTTGGGGACCGCGAGATGATAGCAACCGATGGTTAGAGACCCTGAATGAAATGGCTCAAAATCATTTGCAATGGCGCAGGTGCATCCACTCTTTGTGTTCTCCCAAATTCTAATCTTTTGAATTCTTCATGTCTCTACCACTACGGGATTTGAATCGACAACTGCATCTCTGTGCTAATGTGTTATGGCAACTCGAACTGATGTACATACATACGAAGTTCTACGTTGTGACTGACTGAAAAAAGTGTGATTCAAACAATTTTTGCATCTATCACAGCACTAACTTCACTGTCTGAAATATATTTTCAGTAGAGTTATTTCTATCTATTAATGTTAAGTTTTTAAAATTAAAATATCCACCTCAAAGGATACAACCTCCCTCAAAATCCTCAGTCTGAGTTAAATTTTTATCCGCTACCCCATATTGATCTTTTAACCGATTGATCAATGGAATTTACTGGGTATTATTATGAATCCTAAACATTCGATGTGATCATCATAATATCTTTGTAGTCATTACTACACAGCTTTTTCATTCTTCTTCCTTTTGTCAAATTCAGATACCCATGTCTTCATGTGCTTCTGTGGCTAGGTTTCTAGACTCGAGTGCTATGGAGTCAATGACATTTGCCCTATCAGCCGATTGTAACCCAATGTCCGATTCCCATTTAGTTTGTTCGCAATCAAAAATACTACACAAAGGATCTAAAGACAACCACAATAAGTTAATTTGTCAGAATGTGACCAGTTCACAAATGACCTCAAATCTAAATTATTTTACTGACCAAAATTGTTTTCAGACCTTCGAGACTGAGGCTATTTCAATTGAAAATACAAGACTCAAGGTATTCATTATATTTATTGATTATGCAAAGCTTACAACTGACTACCCATTTCACTCAACTCATCAGTTAGAGTTGTTGAGATTATAGTTCAAGGTCCTGTTACTTTCTAAAACGCGATTTGCTTATGCTTAGTTACTTTTTAACACGTATGTACAACTATTTATTTATTTAAACACATAAACATTGGCACATAGGCGCACCAAAATATATGTGCGACACACAATAAGAAAATGACCTGTGACCAACCAGTACTCAGTGACCACCCAAACAGAATGTCTCCCAGTCAGTCAGGCAGTAACAACGTAGAACTTCGTACGTACGTACATCAGTTCGAGTTGCCACACCGCATTAGCACACAGATGCCGTGGTCGATTCAAATCCCGTAGTGGTAGAGGTAATAAGAGTATAAGCAGTAATCGGAAAGATTAGTGTTTGGAGATGTTACTTAAAGAGTATAATACAGTGAAATAAATTTGGGAGGAGAAAAAAAAGAGACAAGGGGAATCAGATCAAAATTTGGGAGAACACAAAGAGTGGATGCACCTGCGCCATTGCAAACGATTTTGAGCCATTTCATTCAGGGTCTCTAACCATCGGTTGCTATCATCTCGCGGTCCCCAACCAGGTAGTCTACGCCTACCAACATGACTCAGTCCACTTGTCAGTGATTTCATGGACTTGTGCCATGTTTTGGTCTGGCCGCCCCTAGCTTTCTTCCAACCTACTCCTATACCACTGAACATCGCACGTCGAGGCAGTCGGTGGTTGGGCATACGTAACACGTGTCCCAGCCATCTCAACTGATTAAGTTTCACTACTTCATCAATTGATTTGCCATCCTTACCTAGTAGCCGTTTCCTAACAACTGCATTACTTACTCGATGGTCCCAGGATATACGAGCAACGTTTCGAAGACATTTACGATCAAATACTAGTAACCTACGAATATCCTCTACTCTTATTGGCCATGTTTCACTGCCATAAAGCAGGACGGAACGAACTGCTGCGCAGTAAACATGTCCTTTGGTTGATAGACGGATATCTCGCCTACGCCATAAATGACGCAAGTTGGCTAAGGCTAGTCGAGCCTTCTGTATCCGTGCTGAGATTTCGTCACACACCAGACCACAAGGGCTGATCAGACTTCCAGGATAAGGGATGCGATCGACACGCTCAATTACTTCACTCCCTATCATTAGTTCGAGTGTCGAAGCAACATTTCGCATTTCGAGGGGGAGAATCGCATCCCGAACATGCTTGCATTGTTGCTTAGAGTTGTCAGAAGACTCTGCATTTTGTCAGCGTCTTCGCCAAATAAAACTATGTCATCGGCATATTCTAAGTCAACAAGTGAACCTCCTGGTAGAAGTTCAACCCCTGGAAATTTAGATAAGGAAAGTGTCATCTTTAAAAGCACGTCAACGACAAAGTTAAACAAGAATGGGGAGAGTGGACAGCCCTGATGAACACCACTTGAGGTAATCAATTCTGATGACAGTTCGCCATAAGCTCTCACTCTACCAGTTGTGTTCGAGTAGAGAGCCTGAATAAGGTTAATGTACTTCTTTGGTACTTCTTTCAGTGACAAACACTGCCATAGAACCTTACGGTCAACAGAGTCCAATGCTGCCTTAAGGTCAAGAAATACTACCACTGTGGGGCGTCTAAACACGTGTCTGTGTACTAGAACCTGACGTAGTGTGAATATTTGGTCTATACAACCACGTCCAGGTCGAAAACCGGCCTGATTTTCTCGAGTTTGCTCTTCACGAGCTTTAGGCGTCGAAGTATTATTGAAGCTAATATTTTAGACACTATATTAGTCAAACTGATTCCTCTGTGATTGTCACAAGAGGACTTTTGTCCTTTCTTAAAAACTGGCACAATCAGTGATTGAGACCAGTCAGATGGGATTACGTCCAATTCCCAAATTCTACCTAAGACCTCAGTTAATCTCACTGCTAATACTGGACCACCATCCTTAAAAATCTCAGGAGTAAACCTGTCAAGGCCTGCTGCTCTCCCTCGCTTCAGATTTCCTATGGCTTTTTCAACTTCGTAAAGAGGCGGAGGACCTACATTAACTTGCCATTCAGGTTGACTGGAGATCGTGGGAAACCGAAGTGTGGCTGAAGGCCAGTTGAACTGATCGCTGAAGTGTTCTGCACATCGATCCAATCTCCTGGATTGACAATGTATAATATGTCCATCTTTCTCTGAGAATGTTTCGCTAACAGTCGGTTTCCTAATACCAGTTCCCTTAACAAGTCTGAACAATTGTCTGCTATTACCTATTGCCGCTGCCTTTTCCATCTCTCTTGCTTTTGCTATCCACCACTGTTCACGATCATTACGTAGACTTCTTGTCAGCTTGCGCTTAAGCTGAGTCCGTTCTTCATTATGTTCAGAGCCAGGTGGAATGAGTTTTCGAGCATCTATCAATGCGACAGATGCTGCTGAGATCCAGTGTCGTTCCCTAACCTTACGGGTTACCGTACTAGCAGATATCACTGCTGTTTCCATGCTGCCTCGGGGTGGGCATCACATACATGTCTACCTAACTGTTTTTCTAGTTGTTCCTGAAATATACTCTTAGCTTGACTATCATTAAGTAGGACCCTAAAAGGTTTACTTGCAGCGTCTTTCCTACGTCCAGTAAGACGCAGGCAAATACGCGCTAGCACTAAAGCATGATCTGAGTTTAAGCATGTGCTCCAGAATGAGCGATAGTCTTCTATCGAGCCCATCCGTCGGTGGCTGATAGCGATGTGATCTAGTTGGGTCCGGCGTTGGGACGAATTAGGGGGTCTCCATGTTAAAAGATGTCTTTCCTTATGCTTAAAGTTAGTATTTGCAAAGAACAGGCCATTATCTGAGCAAAGCTGCAACAGACGGTCGCCATTATCTGTTCTTTGAGCCACGACACCATAAGATCCACCTAGGTGTCTTTCCATTTCGCTTAGTTTACCTACTTGAGCATTAAAGTCACCGGCCATTATTACTACATCCGAGCGCCTAGCTTTTCGGAGAAGGTCGGAAAGCTTTCTGTAAAACTCATCTTTTACATCATCTGCGCTGCAGTCAGTGGGAGAATAGGCAGAAACGACGAAGAGGCAACGACGGGTGTCCCTATCTTTCCGGATTCTTACTGTTCCGTTTAGTCGGACAGCGCACAAACGGCTGTCTACTGGGATCCACTCTAAGAGAGCTAATTCTGCTCTGGGACTCAATGCAATACCTACGCCGGCGAGGCCACGGGAAGCAGAATCACGGCTTCCAGATACACGAAGTGTGAATCGAGTCGGTTCTTTATTTTGGCGTGGTGAGGTCAGATGAATGACGCTACTCAGATCCTGTATGCGCGTTTCGGAGACGCAGCACACATCGATGGCGCGGGATTCTAAAGTCCTAGCTAAGGAAGCCTGCTGTCCTATTTGGCACAGTGTTCGGACGTTAAAAGCTCCTACGTGTAGTTTAGAGCGTGGTTTCAGGAGACCAGGAATAGCGTTCCACGTACTCGAATCGTTTACCCTAGCGGTGCGAGATGATAAAGAGACGTGAGGAGGGCTAGTCATGGAAATAAGAGAGGTGTAGGAAGGATTTGAATGTGGCCAACTTGGTTTCGTGGGCTGTTAAGGGTATGAGGGCTGATGTCACTTCCCGGCTGCCCACACCGTGGAAGGGTATTTTCTTGAGGAACCTGAAGACGAAGTCGGATTAGTGTTGGTCTTAACGACCTGGGAGCGTGACCGCAGAGCCCAAGGGACAACTACTTGAGGCCGGTCGCGCACGGCATTTTCGTGGAAGGTTTTTAATGTGTTAGCTCCGTCCTCCAAAGGGCCTTACCGCCGGAGACGGAAGCCCGTGGGGCAACGTGAGGTGTGACATTTTTAGGGTCGAACTTTTCTAACCGCAGCCCACCGTGTGGGAAGGCAGCATCGCTGCAGATGCTGGTTGTCCGAGGGAAACACCTTACTGCTGTCACAATCCACTACAGTCAGCAGTACGACTTCGCCCTCAGACCTTGAGTTGCTGCTTTTAGTCTTACCGTTCTCCAATCGACCTTCCTGGCATGGTAGAACCTACAAGAACATATGTTCCAGCCAATATAGCTCGGTTGGGTCATCACGATAGGCAAGCCCGACCACCGCGTCAAGGTAGCAGCTTCGGTCGGGAATGTTACCCACGTAAGTTTCGCACTAATGAAACTTTCTACCCTAACGCCAGGTAAATCACTGTTAATGGGAGTCCAGCAGGTGAGTTTTACCTCCACTCTGGCACTAAATGAGACACCAATGCCAGGAAAACTGGACATAAATGCCCTAGAGCCTCTGGATAAGCGCAGGTAAAACAAGCTCTCCAAATTGATAGACGGGGAACTAATTTGTAGCGCATCGCTGGTGTCTTATACAGGTCTTGGAGATGCAGAAGATATCGGTCTCAATACTTCTAAAAGACATCTAAATCTGCATTTGTGTGAACGTTGAAGCAGTTCGGCTCAAATGGTATACATGGTTTCAGGAAACCTGTATCGAGTATCGCTCTCGGTAGGAATCAATCGTGAATTCAATCGTTCCGCAACTTGAGACTATTTAGACTTGTTAGAACATTCACCGAAGACGAGTTTCCGAGTGTGTTGAAGTGTAAAAGTATGCACGAAATGAATAGAAAGATAAAGTGGCTAAAATAAATCAGCTTGTAATTAGGTATTCGTAAATATCGTTTATATGGATAGCAAGGGGAACCGGAAATACTTCCTTCGTTGGTAAAAACCATTATATTTGTGTGTTGGCCGGGATACTCTCCAGGCACCCAAACTGAAGCATATGGTTTTCTCAAGAGACCTAGAGGTCTAATCCACAAGACAGCGTAGCAATGTTAGCAGATGCCGTCCCATGGTATCTGGTGATCAAGAATGGGTTCGTACGCCAGTTGCTCCCTCATGATCTTGGAGCCCATGTCCACCTTTGGTTTGGAATCAGGGATTTCTAACTCCCCTAGGTGGGTCCTCCGTACCCACCAACCCGGTTTAAGCGCCGGACGTTCGCTTTCCGTCCTCTCAAATTTCGCAAACAACACCCCACTACGAGAAGGTAGTGAGTAGGACTTCTCTGGTAGTGAGAGCAATTCGAGAGGGATAGCAGGCTCTTTCCACTCTCGTGCGTACCAGGCCATTTATTGAATACGTTAGACCTCATTCGTAATCTTAAGACAACCATTGCTTAAATACTGTTAACTAACGTTGGCGTTTTTCAATGATAGCTGATATAACTTTGTGACGAAGACCCTATAGTATTTTAACCTTTAGTCACAGCTGCAGCTCAATTCCTAGTACGTAAACGTAACATTTTTCCGTAGTGATAATAAATGATTTACTCTCACTAAGTCACTGCACTACTGCCAGCGATCACCCATTAATTGAACGGGATAGTGCTTGGTGCAGCATATATACTGCACGTTGTATAATGCATGTGCTACAAATCCACGAGCATATGTCCTATCTGATAAGTAGCATTTTGTCATTTTATCTGATATGAGATCATAATGAAAACCCTAGCTATGATATTTGTTATCCTAACTCTTAATCATGATTCATCATACTAATTCATAACCCTAATGACTCACTGAGGTGTCTCAAGGTTACTTTTGTATCTCTTAAACGTCGTTCATAAATTAGTCTCGGTCTGAAATAACCTAGCACGAGGATAACTGGGGTCAATCCACTGCATTCATCTGCTCCACGACTGACGCTTCTGTATGTCTTAAACTAGAGTGAACCTCAAGAGGCTTTTAAACGATTGAGTTTCACCAGTATATTTCTAAACTTAGAATGCAGATCATATTGCATTGAAGCTGGCTTAGTTAAAAACGCACACTCAAACAAGTTTTAGTGAATGGATAGAAAAGCAGTTTACTTAAAAAAGTTTTGAAATTTTTTTGAATTAAACTGACCTTGATTACACATTCAGCTACTTCATTAGAAAAATGCCCAAAAGTTATTGTTTTACTTGAGGATGTACTAATAAATTCCAATTGATCAACGTTTAACACATGAAATCGAATCCATGCCAATCGTAAAAACGGTGGATCACTTGATTTGGTAGTCGATAAAGAACTTAATTGACTTTCACTGCTTGGAATAATACTTTCGTTCAGATGTATCCAGTGCCATAGTTGGTAATGAACTGGCACTAAGAATGTAGTAATAGGTTCCAAGTCCCATATGCCGGCAGAATTAGTCTAAAGATTAAATTCAGCACTTACGGAAATGAGGGAAATATACTTAAAATATATTAAAATGCTATTCAGCTTAATAATCTGCTCATCGAAGAAAAATTTAAACATGACCCGATGACAATAAGGTTATCAAATAGTATATTTGACAGTTACTTTTCAAGTTTTGACTAAATGTGAAGATAAAATAAATTAAGTTTGAATCATTTTATTTAGGTGGATAAATATCACGTTCTAGGCGATAGATCAAACTTAGAAAAGTCAGCTTATAACCTTAGATACGGTTAAACTAAATAAATTGGTCAGTCCGGATGGGCATCCCCTAACAGAACTAAATGTTATGGTTTTTTGTACAAGCAATAACTCGGAAAACAGCATTCTAAAGATCTTTTAGTGAGTTTGTGTAATTCTTTGGTGAACCTTTCAAACGATTCGTCTGTCTAGTTCTACAAATACCCTTATCGTAATTTAACCATAATGATAGGTTGTCTTTGGTTCAAACTCTTTCCAAACACCCTGCTAGCAATGACAGAATAGCATTAAAGTGATTTACATTTCTCTCCCAGTACAAGAAAAGGGTTTACTTAAGAAAATAGTAGACAAGAAGAAACTAAAATATCAAACGATTTCTTCAGAAACAAGGGTTAATGTATCACTAAACTGTAAAGACAACACTAAAAGAATTGAGAAAACTGTGTTAATACTTGAAAATGGTTTGTGTCCAACCACAGAACAGAGAAGAATCAACAAAAAAGGATTACTTGTGCTAGTAGCATGAAATAGACATAACCACTGATTTTCCAAGCAGTATTGTGTAAACAGCTATAATAAACTGAAGGAATTATCATGGAAGATATTTTAGTCATAAATCTAGTTATGATAAAGAAAATTAAAGCGATTCAGCAGAGCTATCAAACGCATACGGTCAGTTTCTTAAACATAGCAATCATGACTTGTCAAAAAAGCATAAACTCCTAAGTTTCTTTATTATTTTAAATATACAAGAATATAGACTGCTTTTATTTTAAAACTATGGTGATATACATCATTTTTCACGGATTATGGTGTCTTATAACTTGAACGAAACATTTAGAAGCGATAAAAAACAACAAAAAGAAGAACTAAGAACGTAATAAATAAAGATTTCTGAAACAGCATGAAGTTTAAATTTCTAAGTTTGAAAACTTACGCAACATGGAGTGACGGTAGTACTAAATGAAGCACTTGATAAAAATGAATCAAACACTTTAAACCACTTTACGTGAACTGATGAGGCAACATTTCCGTTAAGTGGATCGCGATTCGAAATATCATCTCCAAAATCACCATTGATATGTTCTACTATTGTAGATGGTTGGATGTTACGACTTGATCGTATAGGAATTGATAAATCGTAACCATTTTTCAAACTATTGACAAGCTGATGAAATTTTAAACTTGTCATAGAAATATATAATCCATCCTCGACGATTATTGCACTGCAAAATGAGGCATGACCAGAAAAAGCTACAAAGCTCAGACCAGTTACCTGTAAACAAAAAAATGGAACATTTATTTATGATTTTTGCACTACAACGATATAATGTGTAATACAAAATCGGGAATATACGCGCCTTCTACGCCACTGTTCCTGGATAACCTGGATTACGAATGAGGTCTAACGTATTCAATAAATGGCCTGGTACGCACGAGAGTGGAAAGAGCCTGCTATCCCTCTCGAATTGCTCTCACATGACTACGGGTATATAGCCACTACCAGAGAAGTCCTACTCACTACCTTCTCGTAGTGGGGTGTTGTTTGCGAAATTTGAGAGGACGGAAAGCGAACGTCCGGCGCTTAAACCGGGTTGGTGGGTACGGAGGACCCACCTAGGGGAGTTAGAAATCCCTGATTCCAAACCAAAGGTGGACATGGGCTCCAAGATCATGAGGGAGCAACTGGCGTACGAACCCATTCTTGATCACCAGATACCATGGGACGGCATCTGCTAACATTGCTACGCTGTCTTGTGGATTAGACCTCTAGGTCTCTTGAGAAAACCATATGCTTCAGTTTGGGTGCCTGGAGAGTATCCCGGCCAACACACAAATATAATGGTTTTTACCAACGAAGGAAGTATTTCCGGTTCCCCTTGCTATCCATATAAACGATATTTACGAATACCTAATTACAAGCTGATTTATTTTAGCCACTTTATCTTTCTATTCATTTCGTGCATACTTTTACACTTCAACACACTCGGAAACTCGTCTTCGGTGAATGTTCTAACAAGTCTAAATAGTCTCAAGTTGCGGAACGATTGAATTCACGATTGATTCCTACCGAGAGCGATACTCGATACAGGTTTCCTGAAACCATGTATACCATTTGAGCCGAACTGCTTCAACGTTCACACAAATGCAGATTTAGATGTCTTTTAGAAGTATTGAGACCGATATCTTCTGCATCTCCAAGACCTGTATAAGACACCAGCGATGCGCTACAAATTAGTTCCCCGTCTATCAATTTGGAGAGCTTGTTTTACCTGCGCTTATCCAGAGGCTCTAGGGCATTTATGTCCAGTTTTCCTGGCATTGGTGTCTCATTTAGTGCCAGAGTGGAGGTAAAACTCACCTGCTGGACTCCCATTAACAGTGATTTACCTGGCGTTAGGGTAGAAAGTTTCATTAGTGCGAAATTAACGTGGGAAACATTCTCTTTGCGTGGTCACTGAGTACTCGTTGGTCACAGGTCATTTTCTTATTGTGTGGCGCACATATATTTTGGTGCGCCTATGTGCCAATGTTTATGTGTTTAAATAAATAAATAGTTGTACATACGTGTTAAAAAGTAACTAAGCATAAGCAAATCGCGTTTTAGAAAGTAACAGGACCTTGAACTATAATCTCAACAACTCTAACTGATGAGTTGAGTGAAATGGGTAGTCAGTTGTAAGCTTTGCATAATCAATAAATATAATGAATACCTTGAGTCTTGTATTTTCAATTGAAATAGCCTCAGTCTCGAAGGTCTGAAAACAATTTTGGTCAGTAAAATAATTTAGATTTGAGGTCATTTGTGAACTGGTCACATTCTGACAAATTAACTTATTGTGGTTGTCTTTAGATCCTTTGTGTAGTATTTTTGACTGCGAACAAACTAAATGGGAATCGGACATTGGGTTACAATCGGCTGATAGGGCAAATGTCATTGACTCCATAGCACTCGAGTCTAGAAACCTAGCCACAGAAGCACATGAAGACATGGGTATCTGAATTTGACAAAAGGAAGAAGAATGAAAAAGCTGTGTAGTAATGACTACAAAGATATTATGATGATCACATCGAATGTTTAGGATTCATAATAATACCCAGTAAATTCCATTGATCAATCGGTTAAAAGATCAATATGGGGTAGCGGATAAAAATTTAACTCAGACTGAGGATTTTGAGGGAGGTTGTATCCTTTGAGGTGGATATTTTAATTTTAAAAACTTAACATTAATAGATAGAAATAACTCTACTGAAAATATATTTCAGACAGTGAAGTTAGTGCTGTGATAGATGCAAAAATTGTTTGAATCACACTTTTTTCAGTCAGTCACAACGTAGAACTTCGTATGTATGTACATCAGTTCGAGTTGCCATAACACATTAGCACAGAGATGCAGTTGTCGATTCAAATCCCGTAGTGGTAGAGACATGAAGAATTCAAAAGATTAGAATTTGGGAGAACACAAAGAGTGGATGCACCTGCGCCATTGCAAATGATTTTGAGCCATTTCATTCAGGGTCTCTAACCATCGGTTGCTATCATCTCGCGGTCCCCAACCAGGTAGTCTACGCCTACCAACATGACTCAGTCCACTTGTCAGTGACTTCATGGACTTGTGCCATGTTTTGGTCTGGCCGCCCCTAGCTTTCTTCCAACCTACTCCTATACCACTGAACATCGCACGTCGAGGCAGTCGGTGGTTGGGCATACGTAACACGTGTCCCAGCCATCTCAACTGATTAAGTTTCACTACTTCATCAATTGATTTGCCATCCTTACCTAGTAGCCGTTTCCTAACAACTGCATTACTTACTCGATGGTCCCAGGATATACGAGCAATGTTTCGAAGACATTTACGATCAAATACTAGTAACCTACGAATATCCTCTACTCTTATTGGCCATGTTTCACTGCCATAAAGTAGGTCATACTTTTTTACTGGGTAAGGTATATGGAAGAACGGTATGTCGGACAATCCTGATGGAACCATATGCTATTACTAGACCAGACAGGTTATATGATTCCTCAAAGACAAATGGTGAGTGAGAAATCAAAATGTCGGAGGGCGTTTTGTGAGTGGATTATTCATCGGGTCAGGGTCATTACTTGCATACATTTATGTGCGTTAATCTATTATCATATATATACACACGACCTGTGTCAATACCCATTCAGCCTTTAACATTACAAAATTCTATCTTATTACTTCGCGCACAGCTAATCCAGAGATAGGAAGTGTGCAATGTGGCTGGATCGGATCGTAGGATGAAAAAAGAATCAGAGTTGACTTGATTTGTCAAGACACGCAAAATGTGCCAATTAAAAACAGATATTTGAAGATACTATTCCAAACAAATGAGGAAAAGCAAAACGAATACAGTGATCAGTTAGGAAATCACATAGACAACTAATTTTTTTCAGACTTACTAGAAGCTCCACAATTACATCTTCGACACCATTATTATGTGTAGTAGTATTCGTATCCGATTCACTTTTAACTACATTCAAATGTGCATAGAATCCATTTATATGAAATAATAATTCTGGTAATGGAATACATCTTTGTTTAGGTGTAAATGTCATGAAATCTGGATAGATAAATGGTTCTATATTAGTGAATAATTGTAAGAAGCTTTCTCCGTCTAGTTTACAATCAAATAAAATCTTGCGATCACGGTCGGATAACAAAGTAGTTGGATAATAATGTGACATTTTGCCTAGATTCAATAAAATTCTACTCGGTAGATGATATGCCCAAGGTGCTTCTTGTATATGCACTAGTAGAGCGATTAAGAACGGTGGATTTGGTAGATGTAGGCCTAATAAACATTGGTGAGTTGGATGGAAAAATACGAATCCATATGGATTGCTACTTCCATAATTACTACTTGTTAAAGATCTGGAATTAAGCCAATAGTAACCATTCGTCATATCTGAGTCAGTACAGGGTGAACTAGAACAACGATCATTTGCAAAGTAAAGTTTTTCAAAGAAACAATCATGTGAACGAAATGGTGCTGAACCGAACGGTCTATTATACGTTTGAGAGTTGAAGGATTCTAAGTGAAGAAAGACAAATGAATAGAAGGAGTAAGGAAACTGAAATATGTTGTAGATGAAAAATTTATGTAAAAAGAAATGTTTAAACATATGATATAGAGTGCAACATTCTCTAAATAAGCATATATCTAATTATACCTGTTTGATGTCTTATGATATACAATGAGATCATACCCTATAATACCAAAGAGTATTCAAGGCTTATTAAATTCAGTGAGGTTTTCTTTCTGCCTTGAATAAGAACGTGCAATTAAGGTTACGTATATAATACGAAAAATAGTTGTTGCATGTAGGGAGTGTGGCAATGTAATGCAGTAGACAGTTATTTCAGGAAGGGAGACTAAATCTCTCATTCCGAGCTAAGCCATAGGTTTATAAAGACTATCAATGCTGGGATAATGAACGATTACTAGTAATAAGTTACAAGAGAAACATAGAAACTTTTATTTCGCTAATGTCGATTTGTGGAATAAGAACTACGTAAAAAATTATGGGCACCAATCATCAGTATACAGAATACCAGCAATACAAACGGTGGAAAACCGTTTGATACTTACCAAAATTAACATCACTTTTAACTTGTTTCTCAGCATAATTCACTAAAGCTTGATATATAAGCCAGTATTGATAAAATATCTCCATTGGTGGTAGTTTTTCATCAAAACGTCTACGTAACAGAATTACAATTTCTTCTTGACCAAACTGATAAAAGCCACTCGATGAGAAACACCAAGCTGATTGCTTCAAACAGCAATTTAATTCAGTTGAATGAACACGAATATGGAGATTCCGAGTGAGAGCTATTGTTATGCCAGGAGACACATTATCTGACTAAGGAAAATTTTAGGCAAAATTCTTGATAACGATTACAATTAAACTGAATTATATAGATAAAAGGATGAATGTGAAAAGAATTTATTGTAATAGTAACAGTATTTATATGACCAGTAAAACTGCTACTCATTGGTAATTAAATTTATGTAAATATGAAAGTTAATGGAAATTCACACAATCAACTAAACAGTGATATCTCCTGTAAATACCAAAGTAATTCATAATTATCACGACATGATTAAATATCAGGAGGTCGAAGAAAATTAATGGTAAGTCCCACACATGCCTATTGTGAACTGATCAAAAATAAAACCGATGAATCTATTCCCTTTATTACGACTCAGCTATTCCTATTACTTAGTATTTTTTGACACCAATTCACTCGACAAGTCCTCAAATCAGAACACGATTGAACAAGAAAGAAATTATATTCCAGATGACAAGGATAGATGGAAGTGTAAGGGTTATGATAAGAAAAATGTCAGTATATTTATAAACGCCGCCTGCAGCTCTTCTAGAGTTACTGCCGGTCCCAAGCCCGGGTAAAGGAGTAGTGTTGGGCATGGGGTTAGCGTCCCCATCCCGTAGAAAAATAACTCGCTAAAAAAACGCTTACCAGAAAAAATTATTCAAACCATTTTAACTCTGCCCTGGGAGTTAGAAGGTCTTCTTTTAGAAGAATTATGACGCTTCATGGTGAAAGCCGAGTTCCTTCGGAAGCCACGAGGCCGATGCCCCTTCTAACAACCAGAGCAAAAATTTTTGTAGGTACATGGAACGTCCGAGCGATGTGGGAGACCGGGAAGACCAGTCAAATAGCAACGGAAATGAGGAGATACAACCTGGCAGTACTGGGAATCAGCGAAACCCACTGGACTCAAGCTGGACAGAAAAGGCTAGCTACGGGAGAGATGCTGCTATACTCCGGTCATGAAGAGGAAAATGCTCCACACACTCAGGGAGTCGCTCTAATGCTGTCCAAAGTAGCACGAAATGCACTTGTAGGATGGGAATCTCATGGATCCAGAATCATCAAAGCAAAGGAGGGGATTTTAATGAATATTATTCAATGTTATGCACCCACCAATGACAGCAACGACGACATTAAAGATCAACTCTACGAGCGGCTGCAGTCAATCATAGAGAAATGCCCAAGAAAGGACCTAACTATTCTGATGGGAGATTTAAATGCCAAAGTCGGAATAGACAACACCGGATATGAAGATATTATGGGACGACATCGACTGGGAGAATGAAACGAAAATGGAGAAAGATTTGCAAATCTATGTGCATTCAACAAATTGGTCATAGGAGGCACAATATTTCCACACAAGCGTATACACAAGGCTACATGGATCTCACCGAATCACACTACAGAGAACCAGATAGATCATATTTGCATCAACAAAAAATTCCGAAGGACAATGAAAGATGTGAGAACCAGGAGAGGAGCTGACATAGCTTCAGATCACCACCTAGTTGTAGCCAATTTAAAACTGAAGCTAAAGAAGAACTGGACAACTGGACAAACAACGCTACAAAGGTTCAATACAGCCTTCCTTCGAGATACTGACAAACTCAATGAATTTAAGATAGCTCTCAACAACAGGTTCCAAGCCTTACAAGATCTACTGAAGGAAGAAACTACTATGGAAGACAACTGGAAAGGCATCAAAGAAGCATTAACTTCAACGTGTCAAGAGGTTCTGGGCCTAAAGAAACACCATCATAAGGAGTGGATCTCTATAGAAACTCTGGACAAGATCAAAGAAAGGAAGAACAAGAAGACAGCAATTAACAACAGCCGAACACGAGCAGAGAAAGTCCAAGCACAAGCTGAATACACAGAAGCAAACAAGCAAGTGAAGAGGAGCATTAGAGCCGACAAGAAGAAGTACGTGGAAGAACTAGCAACGACGGCTGAAAAAGCTGCAAGAGAAGGAAATATGAAACAGCTTTACGATACAACGAAGAAACTAGCAGGGAAATATAGTAAACCAGAGAGGCCGGTCAAGGACAAAGAAGGCAGGCCAATCACTGAAATTTAACAACAGCGGAACAGATGGGTAGAGTATTCCTGAATAGGCCGGCTCCAATGAATCCACCGAACATCGAAGCAGCACACACAGATCTTTCTATAGATGCCAATCCACCAACGACGGGAGAAATCAGAATGGCCATCAGACAAATCAAGAGCGGGAGAGCAGCAGGACCCGACAAGATACTAGCTGAAGCACTGAAGTCAGACATCGAAGTAACTACAAACGTGCTTTACCTTCTATTCAAAACGATTTGGGAGGAGGAACAAGTGCCGATGGACTGGAAAGAAGGACACCTCATCAAGATACCGAAGAACCGAGATCTGAGCAAATATGAAAACTATAGAGGAATCATACTACTATCAGTACCAGGAAAGGTTCCCAACGGTGTTACTGGACCATATAAAAGATTCAGTAAACACCCTTCTACGAGATCAACAGGCTGGATTCTGTGAGGATCGGTCGTGCACAGACCAAATTGCGACACTACGGATCATCGTTGAACGATCAATTGAATAGAACTCGTCACTGTACATCAACTTCATTGATTATGAAAAGGCATTTGACAGTGTGGATAGGAGGACGTTATGGAAACTTCTTCGACACTACGGAGTTCCTGAGAAGATTGTCAATATTATCCGGAACTCATACGACGAACTACAATGCAATGTCGTGCATGGAGGACAGCTGACAGATGCATTCCAAGTAAGGACCGGAGTAAGCCAAGGTTATTTACTCTCTCCCTTCCTCTTTCGTCTGGTGGTCGACTGGATTATGAGGACCTCGACATCTGAAGGAAAACACGGAATACAATGGACAGCTCAAAATCAATTAGACGATTTTGACTTCGCAGATGACCTATCCCTCCTATCGCATACACACGAACAGACTCATATAAAGACAGCCAGTGTAGCAGCAGTCTCTGCATCAGTAGGCTTCAGTATACACAAAGGGAAAACCAAGGTCCTCAAATTCAAAGCGGAGAACAGCAATCCAATCACTCTTGATGGCGAAACTCTGGAAGATGTAGAATCCTTCACATATCTAGGAAACATCATCGATGAACAAGGAGGTTCAGATGCAGACGTAAAGGCAAGGATTGGCAGAGCAAGGACAGCATTCCTACAGTTAAAGAACATATGGAACTTAAAACAACTTTTAACTAATATCAAAGTGAGAATCTTCAATACCAACATCAAAGCAGTTCTACTGTATGGAGCTGAAACTTGGAGAACTACAACAACCACCATCAAAATGGTACAAGTATTTATAAATAGCTGTCCTCGCAAGATACTCAACATCCATTGGCCGGATACCATCAGCAATAGCCTTTTGTGGGAGAGAACAAATCAGCTTCCAGCTGAAGAAGAAATTAGGAAAAGAGGATGGAAATGGATAGGACATATATTACGCAAATCGTCAAACTGCATCACGAGACAAGCCCTAACTTGGAATCCTGAAGGGAAGCAGAAAAGAGGAAGGCCTAAGAACACATTACGTCGGACAATAGAAGCAGATATAAAAAGGATGAATAACAACTGGAAGTAGCTGGAAAGGATTGCCCAGGACAGGGTTGGATGGAGAATGATGGTGAGCAGCCCATGCTCCTTCACGAGGAGTAACAGGCGTAAGTAAAGTAATTCAGTATATCTATAGCTTTTGCGTGAGAAGATTCTAGTCTTCTTCAAGTATCCGTTAACGCGGATTGCTTAAGAAATAGCCAATCAGAGTGTCCTTCCCGGAACGTGCTTTAATCCAATCTAAATTCCACTAACATAGTCTATCAATGAGACACAACCACGGATCATTATAAATCCCAAACTAGCGATTGACTCTCTAGGTTATGAAACAGAAACTGCACCTTTAAAACTATCCTTACACATTGAGAGTCAGTTAAAGTTTTTCCTCTTATTTAGGTATAGGTCACAATCTCTGCTAATAAATTTTTAACAACTTCATTCACACATGTGAAACGAAAGGACAAAAGTGCATTTGGTGATAAACCTTATTTTTTTTAAATGATGTGGATTAACTCCAGGATAATAATGCCATGTCAAATTGTACTTGTTATTTGCAAAAATGAGAAAGGATGACCTCACACCGCTAGTAATTTCTGAACTAAACTTCAAAGTTAAAGGCTAAAGAAATAATATGGTAAAGTATAATTGCAATATTTACATAAATTATGACGATTTTAAAAATCAAAACTTTCTAAAGAAGTTGAAAGAAGCATAACTTAAAGGAAATTAATGATAACAGATTTTATTTACTACTAGTTTAATTGACGTACAGTAAACCGAAGAACTAGTAACGTGAACCGTACCGGTTGAAAATTCGACTTCACTGGAATCTAGTACTTCAGATGAAATGACTTGTTATGCTGTTACGAAGTATGAAAACCTGGACTGAAGCAATTTTGTGCGAAATCCTAAATTACGATTTTTTTATCTATGTAGAAAAAACAAATAGATAATCACAGAAATCACATCATATTCGTTATCGGATATTTTCACAGCTATGATGTCCTGTTTAGTTGAGACATTACCAACTGCAGTACTCAAATTGCCTATTTGTGTTTTTGATATTGTACACGAGAGTAACTAGCGGGAACATGAAGTTTCTATCCACAATGCTATTAAATCTAGTTAATTACTAGAAGCCTTCATATAAAAAGATCTTTAAATTCTTTGCCTTTTTAAAGGGTGACAACTTTTAGCCATAGATTTAGCTCTGCAGTGAGAAAAATATGAGACAGAACTTTTTCTCTCGATTAAAATCAACCAGAAAAAGGGATTTAAATAAACGTTTCAATACCTTAGATAAGCATTCAGATTGTGTTACTGGTGTCATGGTCACTGGGTCTAAAGTACCCTTCTCTGAATCAATAGTTAGTTCGTGGACATTCTTATTATACAAATCACCAGACGTTTTGTTTGTATTCTCAAGAAGTGAAAGTAAAAGTCCAACGGGAGGATTGAACTGAAGAACCAATTCTAAAATATCAAAACAGATTGAAACTCAGCAAAAATTTGAGTATAATTACATACTTAATAAAGATAGAAAACAAAAACTCGGCTTTTATTTCTTTTAATCAAAGTCGAACTTAGTAAAACATTATACTATGTATAGTATATAATCTGTGAGTCATACCCTTTCTTGTGAACCACGTTGGTACATTTAAATCAATAACCGCGGAGTCATGTTTAATCATATTTAAATCATCGTTAGATCCTAGCAACAAAACTTTGGAGGCTAGGTAGAAACTAGGTTTATCCGGCAAGCTTACTATTACGGTTATTAACACATCACAATCGCCTGTTAACCAAATGTAGGCAAAACATCAAAAGCAATTTAGCTGGAAACTCGAATACAGGACGACCTCAACCAATGGGATTTAAAACAATTTTTCTATGCAATCATCTAGAAGTCATATCATGTTGACCTCCAGTCTGATGGATATTTAATCCTAAGCACTACTATTGTTTGCGATCGTCCTATATATATATATATATATATATATATATATATATATATATATATATATATATATATATATATATATATATCCCCTCTATAAATTGCCTTTATTTACTCATAAACCTGGTACTCAGACTTGTCCCATAAGTGTCCTGGTTATGCCTGTATTGGAATTCATTAATTATGGCGCATTTTAGTCTTGTATTTTATGTATGAAACCACATGAGTTCTTAAATCTGAATAATACAAGTTACCTTGCTGGTTTTCTAAATGTTAGTTTTGAAAACTGGAGAAGTTTGCACAGCCAATCGAACGTTGGTAAATACAGTACTTGAGTTTGTCGAATTATTATCATTTATGTAAGCAAAATCACGAAACGTTTAATTATAAAAAACACTAACATACACAATATAACACCGACCTACGTAAAAAACCCATTACGAAAGCAGGAGAAAACCATAACGACAATTAACAGTGAAGTTACTTCTCGTTTCGGTGAACGACTAAATATCTATAAGATCTAGAAAGCTATTAGTCGTTTAATAGTTCATTCCAGCAGATAAGAAGACAACAGTACCTGTAAATCACTTGAGCCGGATGGTGAAATGGTTTGGATTAACAGCATGGGAAAGTAGTTGATCATCTGAATAGAGTTCTATACAAAGATCTTTAGTACTTAGTAATATAATAATCAAAACTATGAAGAAACTTTGACTCATACTATAAAATACATAGAAGGTACCATGAGTCAGATCATAGGAACAGTACAAAAACTACCGTGAACTAGTTTTTTCATATGGATACTCTGCTACATGATTTGAGTATTACACTCTCCCTATTGCGAAGTGGATGGTAGTAAAAACGTATGCTTGTATTTACTATTTACAACAAAAAATTCTTCATAGATAGATAGATAAAATTCCTAAAAATGACAGATGTAATTATGAATATTCCGTGAAACTATATACATTTGGAGTAATATGAAAATTGTTTTGTGAGTTTTTAACGAGTAGTAGACATACACTACTCAATAAAATTATTGTTATAAACAAATATGACAATTGAGAGTTAATGAATTGCAATTTGCTACGTATTATATACATGACAGCATGTCATATATACGATCACGTTAAGTAGAATTCATATCTATAGAAGTAAATATTTTTCTAAAAGACAACAAGTATTTTTACCTGGATGGGAACTGATTACCAGAGGAGGCCAAATATCTCCATTAGGTTGAATTTGTTGTAGTTTTTTGGTAGTATGCAACTGTTTGCCGTCCGAACAGTTCTCATCAAGGCTAGTATTTGTTAACGAAGAATCGATCCGCAGTTGAAAGACGTGATTTGCATCATTAATATTAATATTTATGGTCTGCACATTTTTATCGTTAGATATAGTAGTGGGTAGTGTAACATTCTCAATATGCGGTTTATTAGTGGGCTCACCAAGCTTTTTACTTGATTTCATTAGTATGTCATAGACTTCGGGTAAGTTCGTTGAGTCAAAAGCTGGACCTTCGATAGTTTCACTGGGTTTTCCGAAAGTTACAGTACCAACGGCTGTTAAAAACAAAAGTCACTAGTTTACTATTAATAATGGGTTTTAATGTTTGGAATAAAAATATAAGTAAACTGAAATGACAAAATTATTTTAAAAGACAAATATTATTTTACATTAGACTATAAATTGTTAATGATTTCTACATTTAACAGTGTACTGTAAAAGATGACCGCGAATAATTTGGAAAGTAGACAACAGATGATGAGGTTAATTTTCAACGTAATCCAAACCAGGTAATCAAATATTACAGAGAATAGTTTAACACAATATAAGATTGCACCAATATCAGCAACAATTATAATTATATTTTTAATCACAGTTGATTAAAATAAAACAGCCTGGTGTGTTAAACAATAAGCAGTGAAAAAGTTACACAAACGGCAGAACTAATGTTTTATGGATATTGATAAACTACATCAATTCACATAAAGCTTAAGTCCGAGGTTGGAATTAACCAACTTGCCGCTGTATTCTGATTATCAGAGGTTTATTAACCGACTTTTATCCGGTAATGAAAATCATCTTAGGAACAGGAAAACGGCATCAAGCACTTGAATATCTATTTACTGGTGAACATGACCATAAAGACTAGGCCTACTTTATGTAAACAGTAAATCGAATTGTATTAAGTATGATGGAATACACAAATAATATTAGAGAATTCTTTTACTTTTACTATAGTGGTTATAGAACTCATTATTTTATTATGAATTTAGGCTAGGCTTAAAACAAAAATCCGGACAAAAAATTTAAGTAGCACGTACAATTATCAGCACATTTTAAGCCAAATGAATTATGATATGCTGACATGATTTTTGATCACTCGTCAATAAACAATGATTAAAAGATTTTTCTTTCCTCTAAGAATACCTTAAATAACCGGCAAAGACCCCTCTACCATATGTTCTGAGTCAGTTGATATTACTGTGAATCCAAATTAGTTGAATTTTCCAGATCGTAGTATAGGCAGACGAATTTGTAGACTGTGTTCGCCAAAACGTTTCTAGCACTACCCAAGGTTAACTACACGAAAAAACTATCCTACGTCTCCTTAGATAAGGGAAACGAATTTTTCAAATAACTCATTTAATCCAGTACACAGGAAAAGATTCGCACCCCAAACAGCTCAAATGAAATCAAGTAATGGGTTTCGATTTTATAGAATCAAGTACTTTTATCACTAAGATACTCCTTAACATGCGATTCAATACCATAATATCCTCACTATTGTGCAAGTGTGAATACATCTGACAACTTACCTTAGTGTTTAGAATGATATTCATTATCCCTAAGGTAAATATATATGATTAGTATAACTTACAGTTATTGGTTCTTCTACAGTATCGTGGACACAAGCGAATGGAACTAGTTCGAATATCCGAAGAGGTAAAATTCATATGTTTGGTAAAAGTATAAGAACAACATCTGCGAAAAGACAGTAAACTAGGGAACGTTTGTGAATGTGGAAGGTAACTAGAACCACCAAAAACATAAGATGAATGATTAAATCCACGCCTTTTATGATGGTTACAAGTAGAAAAATATGGACAGGGTAATCTCTTATGAATGATACGGAATTTGTCAAAACAAAGCACACTGTATAACTGTGTATTGTTCCGCGACCATGCTATAAAATTCTTAGTAGACATGTGGCCACATTTATTTGGTCGACATCTTACTGAAGTTCGGCAGGTATGATATTTTAACAACTGTGTGTCTGAAAATCAAAGTAAACACTAGACTTTAGTTTTGTGGCAAAAATGAGCAAATGAATATGAAGCAACTTAAAAATACAAGTATACTACAAGAAGAAAAAGTAGAATTAAATTGACACGAAAATACTGGCAGACTAGACTAGTAATTGCCTAATACCCTTTACACATGCTACATTTACCCATTATGAAGACCATTAAACCAACATCTTAATTTTAGATGATAAATTTAATTTACCATGATTCCTTGAAAAATCTAGTCGATTCTTAAAAAGAATCTGATCACGTTACCTGGGCTTGTTGTTTTGCAGAGTAAGAGAACACAGAGATTTCACATTTCTTAGGCGAGTCGGTGTTAACAGGCAAAAATCACAAAATGTTAAAGGTGAAATTCCTAGTGAAAAAAGGAACAACTTTTAGATGTTCCACAATTTTAGGTATAAATATTGGCAAACTATCTATCTCACAGAACATCTTTCCAAAACCGAGCTTCTTTAAGGTTGCCTAGATAGCTCCAACAGCTTTGACAATTGCTGGGTGTAGTTGACATAGAATTATGACCACCAAGTTCCAAGGTTCTCGGATAAGTACTTTGAGATTCTCCATACCTTAAAAATTGAACTTCCTTGGCATCGACATGCCCTGGTACGGCCGAGGGTAGGGAGAGTCCGCTCTCCTCGAAATGCTCTCACATAGCCTCTGCCAGGGAAGTCCTACTCACTACCTTCTTGTGGCGAGGGTGTTGTTTACGAACTTGAGAGGACAAAAAGCACCTTAACTTGGTTGGTGGATATGGAGGATCCACCTAGGAGAGTTGAAAAACCCTGATTCCAAACCGATGGTGCATATGGGCTCCAGGCTCCTGAGACCTATAAGTCGGAGGCTCCGGTTGCGGCCCCCATAAGAAGACCACTTGTTTCGGTCTGGGCACCCGGGCAGTATCACAACCCACACATAAATCAAGTCACTTGTGTGGGGTATATGTATTTGGTGCCCCTTTGTATCAATATTTGTGTTCAAATACTAATAATAATAATAATAATAATAATAATAATAATAATAATACATCGGCATAAGCAGCTTCCCAGAACGACAGGCACTTGTTTATAAAAAGTAGGCATAAACAACATATGGGATGGGACAAAAGTATGCCGTGTCAAGTAACAATATTTCAAAGAAGCACTGCGAGAGGAATAATAGAATGAGGATAACAATACGATTAATAGTAAAAAACTAAACATAAAAGATTTAATACGAATGGATCTGACCGGAGAATGAAAACTCGAGTACAATATTACATTTAATATATGCGGGATGGTAAGCAAATAACACACGTGAGTTGCATTGATAGAACACGCACCATACCAAGTAAAATTTCCAAACATATATTACGCACACTCCAAGGACAGAAGATAAAATTTAGTTTCACGTGTTTATGAAAAAGGTTTTCTTTGAAGTTACAAGAATGAACACTAATTAGCTATCGAACGCCATGGTGCGTGTTCGCTCACATCGATCCGTGTGGACGAACGTTCCGCTGAGAAAATGTTGAAACTTCAGGTAGGGGGATACAAAACACAATTAAACCATTCAGTTCAGAGAACGAAACTCCACAAAAGTCATCCACACGAGCGACAAACCTCCGTTATCTTTTTCAGATGTACAGCAACACATACACCAAAATATTTCGAAGTCTTGGATAGACAGTCCTGAACTAGCTAGATTTAACAGCTACAATGCTTAGCACGATACTGAAATGCAATATGGTTCTGATCCACAATGGAGTGTTATAACTCCAAACAAGTAACCTAAAAGTAATTGAATGAGACGAGTGTTTTACTATGTTCATATTCATATTGTAGATCAAACCAATCTACGGATTTATCAAGGGAAACTCAGAACTGACAAACCACGTACCTCAACCAAAACTGAGAGGCTAGAATATATATTGCTTCTTTCATATAAATAGACTCAGATCAATAAATTCTGAAAGACTTATCTACAGAAATGAATACATATTTAACACTTGCAAATCTAAAGTTTGTCACAATTAATTAAGTAAATATTTGGTTAGCTGCTGTGTGAAATAAGTCAATATTTTGAGACAACGATACAAAAGCAGTGACAGGAAATTCACCTACTTTCCTTAATAAACAATCCCATAGAATCAGGATGTATAGCATGAGTGTTTCCAGTATTTAAAGAAGAGGCTTTAACTGTAGATATGGTATTCTTGCTATTTCCTGGCATGAGTCCGTCACTAGGTTTTGGAAAACCTGGATATTTACTTCCTTGTGAAGGTATTGGTAAAAAGTTAGGTCTTTTGATTGGACAATCTGAGATAGCCGATGAAGAATAAGCGCTCGTACTGCAAACAGATTTCTGTAAAGAATCATGAACAGATAAAACAGTTGGTCGTTTTGCATATGTTTTATGGTTTCTGTCACGATTTCCAAGAGCTAAAGGTGAAAAATCCAAAGTATTTGGTCTGCGACTTTTTAGAGTTTTGATGCACTGACTAATACTTTCTTGGTCCGATTTTTGACGCACAGGCAGGTGTGGATATCCAAATTCTTCAGACGGGGTAGTACTTTTACTCATGTTGCATATGTAATATGACTTAACTTTGGTAGCTCGCGTTATTAATTTATATCATGTTAGTGAAATAAGATCTTTAGCAAGAGCATTGTAGTTGTTAGCTCACTAAAAACGAGATAAAGGTGAAAGAAAAAGTAGTGTGGTCACAGTATTTGCTACATACGAGAAAAACATGGTATAAAAGGTGCTTAGTACTAAGTCATCTATTATCCTACTTAGTAAACAGAACACTAAAACTGAGCAGTAATTCTGATGCATGAAAGCCCCACCTTCCGTTCAATAACTCGCCGAGAAATCTGTTTTTCCCTCCAAATAAATCTCAAGCATTGAAGAAAGAATATCTAACAAGTCATCAGTAGCACACATCACACCAAAAGTCCTCCACTTGCAATTCAAATGAGTCAGATTGATCACATCGTGATAAGCTACTGATGGCGTGGTTGCGTACAAGACTGCCATTCAGTCAGCTACAACGCAGGCACAAATATGCATCGGTCCAAGTTGCCATACCTCATTAACACAGTAAGACGAACACCGGATACATAGAAGCAGTTACTCCAATAGTAGAAATATATAAAGAAAAATTGTGTATAAGTATGTAATACAGGAAGAAAGAATTAGTAGAAAGTAAGATATAAAGCAATTTTAATCTCACGGTTTAAAGGAAGACAAAAAGTGTATACACCGACGCCATTGTGATCGATTCTAAGCCGTCACCTACAGTCTCCAACCATTGGTTACGATAGTCGTGCGGAACCCAACCAAGTAGTCTGCATCTACCAGTATGGCTCAGACCAGAAGTTAGTGACTTCAAGAAATGATGCCACGTTTAGGTTTGGCCGCCCCTAACTTTCTTCCAAGCATCCCCAATACTGATCAACATTGCACACAGTGGTAATCGGTGTTCAGGAATGCGTAAAACGTGACCCAACCATCTCAGTCGATGAAGATTTACAACCTCATTGACTGATTTACCATCATTCCCTAATACCCTGCGTCTAACCCCACTACTACTTATCTGACGATCTCAAAAGATGCGGGCAATATTTCTAAGACACTTGTGATCAAATACTTGTGGCTTACGAGTATCTTCTACGCTTAATGACCGCATTTCGCAGCCGTTAAGTAAAACAGAACGAACTACTGTGCAGTGTACTCGTCCATTAATTGGTAGACGGATATCTCGCCTTCACCATAGGTGACGTAAGTTTGCAAAAGCCAAACCAGCTTTCTGAATCCATGTAGAGATTTCGTCAGACAGCAATCCACTAGGGCTGATCAGACTTCTAAGATAAGTGAAGTTGTCGACGCCTACGACCACTTCACTTTCTATCCTAAGTTCAGGTATTGACTCAGGCCAATCCTGGAGCATCAACCTGCATGAGTGACAGTCTTCTATCGAGCATCTCCAACGATGGCAATACGGTCTATTTGAGTCCATCGTTGATTTGATACATGGGGTCGCCACTGTGATAGACAGTGTCTCTCCTTATACTAAAAATTAATGCTTGCTAAAAATAAACGATTGTTTGTAGCAGACGATCACCATTATCTGTTCGCCGAGCCAGAATACTAAAATACGCACCTAAATGTCTATCTGTTTTATTTAAGCTACATACCTGGGCATTAAAGCCACCTGCTACGAGTACTTTGTCTGAGCATTTAGCTTTATGAAGAAGTTCAGAAAGCTTTATGTAAAAGTCATTTTTCACTTTATCCGGGCTACAGTCAGTGGGAGTGTAGGCAAAAGCGACAAAAAGGCAACGATGTGTGTCCCTATCCTACCGAGTTGTTACGGAGCCGTTTAGTCGAATAGCACACAGACGACTACTAACAAGGATCCCTTTTAAGCGCTTGTTCGGCCCTCGTAAGTAGTGTTACGCATACACTCGCCAGTCCACGAGAACTAACCAACGGGTCGCCAGATGAACAGAGAGTGCATCACGTCGGCTCTCCGTTTTGGCGAGGTGAGGTCAAATGAATCACCAAACTAGGGTCATGTATATGGGTTTCGGAGACACACCATACGTCAATGGTACGAGATTCTAAAGTCTTAGACAAGGACGCCTGCCAGCCGGTTCGACATGAAGTGCGTACGTTGGTTTCAATATGTAGCTTAAAACGAGGCTCCAGTGGACCTGGGACAGTGTTTTGCGCACTAGAATCGTTGGCCATGGTGACGCTTGGGGAGTAAGTCAAAAGAGGGAATTTGGATTTGAAAGTCGAGGTAGGAGGAATAACAGGAATTGAACACAGAGACTGACCATGAATAAAGTAGTCTTGAATGCTGTTAGATGTATGAAGGCGGTTACTACTTCTCGGTTGCCCACAGCAAGGAAGGGTTATTCTGGAGGTACTTGAAAAGAAAATTGGGTTAGAGGTGGTTTTAGTGACCTGAGGGTGTCACTGCAGTGTTTAAGGGACAACTGCTTGAGGTCAGTCAAACACGACCTTGTTGTGGGTAATTTTTGTGTTAGCTTCGTACTTTTTGGGACTTTACCGCTGGAGACGGAAATCTGTGGGACAAGGCGAAATGTGCATTTTTAGGGCCGACCGTTTCTAACCCCACCCTTCTTTGTGGGAAGGTAGCATCGCTGTTATACTGGTTGTCTAAAGAAAACATCTTACAGTCAGCAGTACGACTTTGCCCTCAGACCTTGGGCTTGCTGCTTTTAGTCTCACCGCCTTTCAACCAACCTTCCCGGCATTGTAGGACCTTGAAGAACAATTGTTTTAGCCAGTATAACTTGATTGGTTTATCATGATAGGCAAGCTCGACCACCACGCCAAGGTAGCAGCAACGGTCACCTAAAGTCTCTAACCACTGGTTACGATAATCAAGTGGACCCCAATCGCGCAGTCTGCACATACTCGCATAGTTCGTCCCAATAGTCAATTTATTCGAGGAATGATGTCCAATTCTGGTTTGCCTGCCCGTAGCTTTCTTAAAACTTATTTCTACACCAGTCATCATTGCGCGCCGAATCAGCCGGTGGATACGCATAAATAATACATCCCCCAACCATCTCAGTCAATTCACTATCTCGTCAGTTGATTTACCATACTTACTTAGTTCTCCAAGTCGAAACACGTAATTACTTACTCGATAGTTCCAAAGTATACAGGCAATGGATGGAAAACACCTATGAACAAATACTGATAACCTACGAAGATGGTTTATTTCTAAAGGCCACAATTCACCGTCATAAATCAACGCATATTATTTCAGACTACAATCTTTTAGATGAGTAATCATATTATGGTTGTACATATTACATTACAGAAGCACTTCAAGAAACTAATGATACTAATCAAAACCCTCAGGTTGTTTTAATAAAGCAGATTTTACATCAACAGGAAAACCTACGAACATTTACCTTTCATTAGTCTGATGAACCAGCATATTCAGTGGTCAGAATGAATGTAACCATGAGCACACAAGACCACTGATACTTTGTGACCATAAAAATGCATTTTTTTAAAAAACTGAAAACATACTGTTAGGAATGTAGTAATCTACGATAAACACATGGCTTCATAAACTAAAGGCTCAATGCTACATTTTACTGTAAGTCGACTGAACAATCACTGTACGTAAACGAGACCCAAAAACTTGGCTAAGCTAAAAAAAAAACCCGAAGTTTTCGGCTCTAAAGTAGGAGAATTGTTGGACAGATCTAGATATTTACCATTGGTTACGACAAAAGAAATTCATGGTCATTTTCAAGTCATTTTTAGATAACCAGCAAGTACAGTGTAGTGGTATTAACATACATATTAAAATCATTTATGAATCCTTGTTTATTACGACAAGCAATCTTACTTGCGTTGGTCATACAGTTATCTACAAAGGGTCTGTTACTGACTTCAGCCAGACCGCATCTACTAAAATATCTCAATCTTCCTTGCCCAATAGATATGACCAACTGCAAATACGCATCAACGATTCAGTAGTATTGTCCTTTGACGGTGGTCACTAAGCTCCTGAAGGTCGAACTGCCGTAAAATTATTGGCGCGTCACCTCGACAATTCTCAAGGTTAACAATTCAGTTTCAGTTTCAGTTTGAGAAGGACAAAAGGCTCAATGGCCTATGTTAGTCCTGGCAATGGTGATCTCTCAGTTGATCCAACTTTCTCTTGAAAGAGTCGACGTATTGAGCCTTAACCACGTGCTAAGGTAGTGAATTCCACTCGGTGATGATTCGATGGGAATGTCGATAGTCAGTTGACAAGTAATTTGTGAACTTTTTTGGAGTGTCCTCGTAAATTCTCTGTTTTGGAAGACAAGAAAAATGACGGCATGTTAAGTCCAAATTTATCACTAAGCAATTTGTAGACTGTAATCAAGTCGCCTCTAGTTCTGCGATATGACAACGGGAAAAGGTTCAGCTTGGCCAGTCGAGATTCATATGGAAGCTTCGCTATTCAGGGAACCAGCTTAGTCGCCGTTCTCTGAACCTTTTCCAGAAGCTCACTGACTTTTTTAAAGCAGCGGCTAGCCGCTTGTATGCAGTACTCAAGTTTAGGACGTACGAACACTGTATACAAAGTCAAAAACGTCTTAGTGTCGACATGACTAAAAACCCTACGTATTGACCATAACGATCTAAAACTTTTGGCGGCTATTGCACGACAGTGTGCAGTAGTCTTTAAGTCTTGGCTAACGATGACTCCTAAGTCATTATATGTCTGGACGACAGGTAGCTCAGTGTTGTTCATCGTGTATGTATCTGTACCTTGATGACCGATATGCATCACAACACACTTGGAAGTATTTATCGGCAACTGCCATGTTTGAGACCATTCAGATAACTTCTTCAGGTTGTTTTGAAGTTCTAAGCTATCACTCTTGCATTGTATCGTTTTCCATATCTTGACATCGTCAGCATATAGCAAGACCTATGATGATAGGGGACAAGGAAGGTCATTTACATACAAGAGGAATAGAACTAGCCCCAAATTCGATTTGAGTTCAGCCACACTATCTGATAACGTCCATCCTTGAAGTAACGGAAGTGATACCATCGTAATGATATCTGATATAAATCTGATCTACAACGATATTGTGTTATCGCGACGATTTGCCAGTTAAGACAATTATGAGACCTGCCTAGAAGAAGTACATGAGGATAAATGTTCGGATGGTTGTGGATGGAATATAAGTTTTCGCTTAACGGGCTTCTGTGTCTAGTAGCAGTGGATCACCAATGCCTCCAGACAGGAACCTAGGTATATTAACGGTAAAAGAGAAGAAAAAATTGGCTAAATCATAGCAAGATATTATCTCTAATCCTTAGGAATAGGTAAAGTTGCCTCTTCAAATGGTTCAAATGGTTGTTGACGAAATAGAAGAAGCTTTCGCTTAACAGGCTTCCGTGTCTAGTAGCAGGGGATCACCAAATCCTCCAAGCAGGAACCTAGGTATGTTAACAATAAAAGAGGAAAAGAAATGAGTAAATCATAGTGTGATACTATCCTTAGTCCTTAAGAATAGATCAAGTTGCCTCTTAAGGGACTCCTGGGAAGTTGCTTGGACTAGCTTGGCCGGCAGCGAATTCCAGCTTTTGACAACTCTTAAGGAGTAGAAGTTGTGTTTGCATTCCGTTCTGCTATGTTGTGTCTCCAGTTTTTGGGTGTTACCCCTTAGGTTAGTGTTGGAACTAAGCTTAAGTAGTGTTTGAGAGGATGTCCAGAAGTGTTCAGTATACTGTAAGCTATCAGAAGGTCACCTCGAAGACGTCTATACTCTAATGGGTAAAGGTTAAGTGCATGGAGGCGCTCTTCGTAAGGTTTAAATTTGAGTCCTTGAACTGATTTCGTGGCTCGCCGTTGAATACGCTCCAGGGTGTCCTTATCCTTTTGGAGTGAGGGGGAAATACTATGTTTCCGTACTCTAAATGGGGACGGATTAAACTTTTGAAGATCATATGGAAAGCTCTTCCGTCAAACTGGCCAAAAATGCGCTTCAATGTTATTAGTGCAAGGTTTGCTCGGAAGGCATTTTTGTCACAGTTGGCATAAGACTTTAGATCGTAAGGCATCAAAACTCCTAAATCTTTTTCAACTTGAGATACTACTAGAGAGGAGTTACCTAAGTTATAACTGTAGTCTGTGACATGTCGCAGATGGACTACTTTACACTTTGAAGTGTTAAAGGTAAGTCCGTTATCGTCTGCCCAACTTTGAAGTGGAGTTAGATCCTCCTGAATTGCCTGTGTATCGTCTTGGTTGCGTATCTCTCTCCAAGGTTTCACGTCGTCGGCTAAAAGTAATAAGTCCGACGTTACCTGTCGAGGAAGATCATTTATATAGATCAAGAAGAGAAGAAGTCCTAGTACTGAGCCCTGGGGGACTCCACTAGGACGTTCCATAGCTTGAGAAGAAGTGAAATTAACCATGACCTTAAAATATCGGTTTTTCAGGCATGAAGTGAGCCAATCGATTAGAGGTGGTCTGATTCCCAATCGTTTGAGCTTATTGATAAGACATGTATGGTTAACCTTATCAAAAGCTTTTGAGAAATCTAGGTAGATGATATCAACCTTCCCCTTGTGATCAAGGATGCTTGTCCATCTGTCTACCGCAGTCAGCAGGTTGGTAATACAAGAGTAACCCTTCCTGAAACCGTGCTGTTAGGGTGAGAAGAAATTTAAGGACAGTAAATAGTCGTTTATACCATCACATGTCAGGGACTCCATGATTTTTGAGGGTATTGAGAGAAGAGCCACCGGTCGGTAACTTGAAGTTTCGCTGTGTCGACCTCCTTTGAAGATTGGTGTGATGTGAGCCAGCCTCCAATTTTCCGGTAGTTTTCCTTGACTTAGCGAGTGTGAGAACATCATGCTAAGCGGCGTTGCCAGGATTGAGGCTGCTTCCCTCAGTGTGGCGGAATGGACCATGTCCGGGCCAGTATAAGTGTCTAATCTTAAGTGCTGCAGTTTCCGGAACACTAAGTCAGCGCTTAGTTCACTTCGGAAAGTCCTGTGGAATTGCTAAAGAAACTGTCATCAGTAAAGTTAATGTCGGTCGGTTGAAATGTCCGGGAGTATTGTTCAGCCAGAAGGTTAGCGGCGTCGCCATCGTTGTTGGTCGGGCCGTTAAGACCTACCAGTTGGGAAACTCCAGTTTTGGCTTTACGAAGAGAGGCTTCATGACAGAATAAGCTTTTAGGATTAGAGGCAAATTTGTTCATAAGCTTTGTCTAGCAGCGAAGCTTATCTTCTCTTATAGCCTTCGTGCATATTTTCCTTATATGTTTATATTGCCTGTACGCTCCGTCGTTGTTAGTTCGTTTGTATTCCGCCCAAAAGTGCTTTTTACGGCTTATTAGGCGAAGGGTACGGTTCTTGATTATTTTAGTTGGCTTGCAGCTCTTGGGAAACGTTTGAGGAACTGAGTGGTTTGTAGCACGTAAGAGCGTGTGCAGTAAGAAGTCCCAATGCCCGCCCACGTCGAGTTGGGGATGAACATACCAAACCACCTGTTGTAGGTAGTCGTGTAAAGCTGGCACATTCAACCGTTTGAAATTCCAACGCGAGATATTGGTGGGGTATCTTGACTTAGTTTTGCTGACAAAACTGAAGGCTATGACGGAATGATCACTTTTTCCCAGGGGAGCCACGATTGAGAGGTTGTCAACTAGAAATTCTTCGTTTGTTAATACACAGTCTAAGCGCGATGGTGTCTGACTGTTTCTCCAACGAGTTGCCGACCGCACATTTTCGTACAAACCCAAGTCATCAATGGGGTTGAAGAACCGAGCTTCCATTTAGTTGTCGCCTCCAGTATACGTGTGTTCCGCGAAGTTGACTCTAAGGAGATTAAAGTCGCCTAGAATCAGGATGCGTGTGAATCTGAGACGGGTAGAGCGGGATAGTCCATCCAGCATACGACTATCGTACCCGATGTCGGCAGTTGGCTTCCTGTAAATGACTCCGACTAGACACCTCGAAGTACTTGACAATCTTACAGAGCACCATATGGATTCCTCAAGATTGTTAAACTCGAGTTTATGAACTTGATGCACCTCCATGCAAGAACGTATGTAAACAGCTACTCCGCCCCCATATCCTGATTTTCTGTCATTGCGGAACAAAGACATCCCAGGTAATGCTAGCTCATGGTCCGAGAATTGAGAAGATATCCAGGTTTCAGATATTCCTATCAGATGGGCATTATTAGCATTGCTAAGTTCACGTAGTTCATCCAATTTGTTTAGTAGACTCGCGGCGTTCATGTATAAGCAGTTTATGCTTTCGATTTGGAACGCGTGAGCTTCTTCCTGTTTGTCTGTATGAGCCTTACGTGAATGGACAGGTAGCCCACCTATATGAGGTTTGCCGAGGTGGTAGGCCCTGTCCTTCACACGTTTTTTTATCGTCTAGACAGTTCACAAGTAGAATAGTCAGCTCCAACTTCCCTTTGTGTTTGGTCCTAGCTTCGTATGGCCTATCCGGGTGCAAGTGGATTCCAGGTGGCAGTCGACGTCTGTTGGCACAAAGTGCTTCCAGAGTTGCGGCCGCCACGTGAGAAGATGTGAAAGTTGTCTTCATTGGACGGGCTCTAGAGTCACCATCCTTCTTGGCTAGTTTCGTCACATGCTGAGTCAGTATGTGTTTGAGCCTCGAAAACTGTTTGATAAATTTCCATTCCCTGATGTCAGTTTTTGAATGAGTAGTGTCCGTATTTTCCAGTATACCTTGCACGATTATATTCCTCCCACGGAAAAACTGATCACGAGATTCTTTGGGAATGTTCCGGATGAGATACGGTATATCAGGCAGTATTCTTACATTCCCATCTGACTTCAGTAAATGACTAGCTAGTATGACATCCTCTACGTCGGTAGCATTCTTAAGTGTTACACGAAGTAGCCTCGGGTGATTTTGATGCTTAGATTCCTTTCCCCGAGTGAGTCATGTGACTGTCAAACGCTCTATTCTTGGAATTTCAAGTTTATTGTTCAATTATCCCCAGAGCATCTTATCATTTTTGTCCTGCAAACTGAGAGGAAGGTCAGGGTTGTCT